TAAAGTGTGCAAAATTCCTATGAGAATGATAAATGAAATCCTCCTTGCTTTATCACCTCGTCTGATACTCAGTTAACTTTACATTTGGTGATATGTTGGAAGTAAAGAGTTCCCTAAGTCTTGTATTTGTCGGAATCTCCCTTGAAACCCCGGCATGTAGACGTGTAGCATCACCCACATTTGATCCTCATTGCATACCCTCATATACCTGATCGACTCGTCTGGATATTACTATGCCGTTATAACCTTATAGTTCCATGGCGTCCCCGTACACAGAGGCTTGTTCCAAATTTAACCTTTAGGTTCCCCGGTGACACTTTACAGTAAGTATTCAAGGTAGGTTTTCAATAGTCTTCGGGATACTCTGTTATGGTGATAATTGCCGAGCGATGGAAAGAACTAGCGATAGATATTTCTTCAATCTGAAGGCTTCTTGGGGCCACCCTTGTAATTTTATGTTGTAGATGTGCAACATTCACAATATTTGCAGCTTCGTCGAATAAGATATCGATATAGCTTCGAATTTCTAGATATTCATCATACTAAAGCCCTCTAAATTCTTGTGCTTATTAGGATCTCCTTGCAAAAACGAAGATCCAGACGTGCAACATAAATCTCTAAGTAGCATGATTGGAGATTATCCAGGAAGACCGAGTGCAAGCTAGTAGATCAGTGCCAGTTCTCCTATTATCGGGGAAATAGGAGGAGGCTATCTCAAAGTCTTCTCAGGATATCCCTTGTCGAAAAGAATATCTAGATATGAAACATAAATCTCGAGGTAGTATAGTTGGAGATTTTCCAGTAAGATTGGAGTTTAAGCTAGTAGATCAATGCTAACTTTTTCATAACCAAAGAATTAGGAGGTGCTATTTGGAAGTCTTGGAGGGATATACCTCGTAATCTCAATTTAAAGATGTGCAACAGAAATATCCAAGCATCATGATTGGACAGTATCCAGGAGTGTCAGAGTACAAGCCAGTAGATCAACGCTGGCTTTTTCATAACCAAAGAAGGAGACTATCTCAAAGTCTCCGAGGGGTACGCCTCGTAATTTCGGTTCATAGACGTGCAACAAAAGCCTACATTTCATCGCCTTATTCATCAACGAACGAGGTGCCATGAACTTCTAATCATGATATGCTTAGTACTTACTGAGCTTCTCTCGCATCTCTCCACCTTCCTCTTGGTAAAAGAGACAATCCCTAGTCTCTTAAGATCACTATACATATCTCCCGAATGAAAGACTGGGCTGGAGACACTATGTTCAAAACCTGCGTCTCCTTTCTTCTGAGCCGGTATCGTTTCTACTTTACTGAACACTATCACGAAGTTTACATACCAATATAAAAACCTGGTCCGAAAACTGTACGCGCCATTCACCTCTCTTTTCCGAGAATGAGCAAAATACTTAATCAACACACCAAATCCTCATCCTACCTGCTTCAAACTTCATACTTCTTACCACCACTGGCGAAGAACCGAGTGAAAATAACAGAATTCATACACATCATCACTTAGAACCGGAAACCTTGACGATCAAAACCGAAGATTATTGACAAATAAAAGACGATTCATTAAAATGCGAGGCTTGAGACTTGGACGAGAGAAAGTACCACAGTACATGTAACCATCTCCCTTTCAATATTCACTTGTCTCTTCTCGGCCCGTTTCATAAATTTGAACTTTCTACCATCTAATCATGAAACTGCCTTTTCTCCACCTCACATTACCATAACAAAAATAAGCATAAATAACAGAAGCACACTCATCCAGTCATATGGTGATCACATCTTCGATCTTGTCCAATATTGCAACCATAATTTAAAACCATAATCCAGAAAACTCTCAGCCTCATTCCGAACAAAAAGACCACTGGACCGCCACACATTGCCATGCATCCATAAGATATCACTTCCATATTCACATCCAGGTTTGCAGTAAGTTACAAACTAACTCAGCCTACCAAATGAGAATCCTGCCCCTCTAAGATGTATTTCACAGCATACAATTTCCCTATGTCTCCATTCTACGACGTGCCACAAAATATAATATCAATGTCAGTAATTGAATTGATGCCTACCTAGGTATCAATCTATTCATCTTCCACGCCCATCTATCTCAACCCCCAACCATCCTCAACACCTCTACAAAAGAAGGAAGAAAACAAGCTACCTGCGCCCTTACAAAGCCACGCCAACAATACAATTCGTACAAGACAGGTGTCCAGCTACCAAGTACTATCACCACCCACGCACTCTTTCGCAAACCCCCCCCCCAAATGTAAAAGAACCATCTCCAGTTTCACTCATGTCATCCCAACCGATGTTCGCTGCCTACATACCCCCAAAGAAGATTATCTCTTTACCACCCAACCTCACTCCCGGTCCTAGTCGAAGCGAACGAATCCTGAGTTTCCTACAATCGCCAGAAGAAAAAAAGCAGTCAGAAAAAAGATTTCTTAACGCATCGCGTCGCATCACATCTCAAATTTCCCATTTTCTTATCAATTCATTCTTTGATCTCGAATTGAGTATCGTTTTGGTATCAATATTTTTTTAGATGGTGATTAAGCACTTCCACCATCACGACTCTTTCGATAGCTGGCCTGCGTAGAAGACACTTCATCAGCTAACTGAACTGTGATATTCTAACAATATAACTGCTACATGCCTCAAGGATTCTAGGAGTGAAAAAAAAAGAAAGAAAGAAAAGGATTAGGCGGAAAATGCCTCGGAACGTCTCACTTCTTGTTCAACTTGAAGACCGTCAACAACGGGGGCAAGTTCACTAAGAATTTCATATGCCTTCTTGTGATATTCGAGTTGAGCGGCGATAAGATCAGCAAGGTTTCGGAGTGGTTCAGGGGTATCGAGGACCTAGATTTACGCATTAGTTTGGTCCCTTTAAAATGTACCACAAAAAGCAACACGCACATTCTTCATAACACCAACAGCTTCTTCAGTTTGTCCAACAAATTCATCCTCTGCTTGTTCAATTTCAACTCTGGCTTCCTCACTCTGAATCTCATCTTCATGACCATCATGTTGAGGAGCGGCTTGACCAGGTAAATGCCATCCTGGGTTCTTAGCCTTCGCCTTTGCGGCATCAAGCAATAATCTCGAATTCTCCACACTTTTTCTAGCACGAGTCGCAAACATCAAATTAGTATTCAATGTTGTAGACCAACCTGCGAGGAAACGACTTTGAATTTGGCTATCTTGTGCAAGTCTTGCTTCTCCAACACGTTCTTCTGCAAGAGCATATTTCTCGAGGGCAGTAGCTAAAGGATCTTCATTTCCAGAGGAATTTTGTTGTTGAAGAATTTGGCTAGATGCTAAGGCGGCGCGAGCAATAGCATGATTGAAGGTTTTGGGTTGTGGTTTTGCGGATGGAGGGGCTGTAAGAGCAGCTTGAGCTTCGGCTGGGGAGGTAGCAGAGGAGAGGAGTTGGACTTTTTCGGAAACAGTGCGGCCGAGGTCATTGAACTATTCGAAAATAATAGATTAGCAAATGAATCATAATCATAATTTGAGAAATGATTGATGATGTTATCATCATGCGGACAAGCCCCCCATTCTCCGTAACTTGCTGCGCTCGAACATTGTCCCCAAATAGTAAGCCCCCGCGGCAGCGGACCCCGGAGAGCCAGCGGAGCGTCATTTGCTATTCTTGAATTTGTATATTGAACGCATGGATAGAAAAGAACATACCGATTCCGACAAATTTTGCGGGTAATCATAGCCCTCATGAGAGAAATTCGAAGTAACAGACAGCATCTTCTGATGCACCTTCTTCAACGCATCGACCCTTTTCTCCAACTCAATATAATCGGGAGGGAGTTGTGTCTATCATAACATAACATTTAGTATTGATTCACGATTTTCTTTCTTTCCCTTCACAGCGCATGATTAAATCGAATCACCTTATCATCAGATTGACCCAATCTTTCTTTAACATATTGTTGGGTTCGAGCTGCGAAGGGCGTGAATGAAGCTCTATTGATCGAGGTATTAGATTAGCTTCGGTGTAAGTAGACCACAATAACATATATCTGGAAGAAAGGGAGTCAAGAACTTAATACTTACGAGACATTCTTGCCAAAGGCTTGGAACTTGGAGAAATCCATGCTCATTTACTGTATTGTATGTATGTTTATTGTGATTGAATATGCGCTCTTGTTGTTTCGATTATTGAATACCTGGTAGGTTCTGTTTAATTATGAGGCAGCAAAGGTTGATGTTGCGACTGCACATGGAAGTGACAGCTTGATTTCCAAAGGTTTCGCCTAAATTAATCTTCACGTGAGAACTGATAACAACGGAATGGGAAATGGGTATGGGCATAATCTGAAATGTTTTGTTTCAGATTGAAACGAACTCTTGACAGGGCAGATCTGGAATAATCATTCACTGCCTATGACCAGTTCTATTCATATTGCACCCGAAGTTCTGGTTACTGGGTGCTATATCACATTGTTCATTCGTGTTCAAAAGAAACCTTTGTTTACTGTGAAAACCATCATGGCGAGATTCAATCTTATCAGTCAAGTGTATGTTACCGGTAGTTAATGTTCGAGAGTGTCTTCAAGTGTAGCTACATGGATCCACAAGGACTTTTCGGATAGCGTACTCCGAATCAGCTACCTGTGTATATATCACTTCCCGCTCTGATAACATCCGCTAACATCCAATTCACCCCTCAGCGAGCTCCCATCTCGCTTCACCAGTCTAAAGTGGTCCAAAATTATTTGGGGCACCCAACGTCCAAGAGTAATTGAATTATGTGTTTGATAGGTGTGGGGCCGATCAAATAGCGACCTTCACTTTCATATTCAAAATTACTCTTACCATCTAGATCCAGATGATGTAGTGTATCAAGCATTTTGCCGAAACTAATGTCCGCTTCCAAAGGATTCGTCGTGTCTTGGTCTGGTCTGTGGGCACCTCATGAGTATGTCAAGCTCCGCAGTATCCATTTCCTCCAACACTTATGTACAAAGCTCAATCCTGAACTCCCTGTTTATCCGCCCAAGAAGGTTCAATGACCTTGCAAACGGCTTCGTAGTCTTGGAATGTTTGCTGATCCATGTTTTCTTCCGGCGTCGTGAAAAACATCGTCCAATTCGTATCAGCCAGTTTTAACGTAGCTCTGCTGCGTTCAAAATACCATTTGTTTACTGGATTATCCTATCGTCTTATCAATACCAAGCACCAAATCAAGACCACGGATTCAAGATATTTCTTACCTTACGACTTCTCCAACAAACACCACCAGGAAAACAATCTCTCACCATAGATTTAAAAACCACATCTGCAACACCGCCCGATCCCTGACTTCTCTTCAAGACGGCAAATTTGTCAAGATAGGGCACCATTCGCCTACGACTTTCTTCACTTCCATCGTCTGGTACACCGGGTGGTAGTTCCCACGTCAGTAATGCTCCCCCTTCGTATTCGCCTGCAATGATGACTCCAGCTATACGATCATTGACACGTCTTAAGTAATCCTGAACATCTAGTTTCTTATTGAAGGAGTCCTCGATCAAATGTACTAGGCGAGGTAGATCAATTTGAGGATCGGTTAAGCTTATTTGTGGAACGCCAGCGATAGGTGGTTCCCAAGGGGTGGTCTTTGGATCTGGAAAAATGGTCACTGGCATTCCATGTTTTGCAAAAGTGGCTGGGGCCAATTTAGTTGATGGTGTAACTGGTTCGTTCTTATCCATTGGACCCAACCTTCCAACGGGAAGGGATGAAGAGAACGCTGGCTTGTCGGTAAGTAGGTTGTGAATTAATGGATTTCGTTGTCGTCGTGTACCAACCCCAGCAGCCTTAAATTCGTGTTGTTTTCCGGAATTCGCGGCCTCATCAGGTGTAGTTATCAAAGCAGAAGAACTAGGAGGTAATATAGCCAAAGCACTTCGAACTAGTTCCAAATTATCCAAATGAAATTTCATTCTTTGATCTTGCAGTGTAGGTGAACCGCTTTGCTGCGGGGGTGAATTTTTAAGCTCGTCAGAATTTTGTTCGGCAAAGCTGGATAGGGGGTATCATCTCCGATATTAGAATTCGAGCCCGCTTCTGCACATGTTGGTTGCTTGGATGTTTCGCTATACAAACCTCCTGTTTTGATGAGATCTTGCTTCGCTAACTCATATTCTTGTTCCATATTCAGAAAAACGTGGTAACCGTTTCTGCGGTCCGAAGCTGGAATACCCCCAAGGGGATCGATCAAAATTAGACGATCAAGCGATACCTCATTTTGTAAGGCCTGGAAGTGCTCTTTGACAACATTAGGGTGTTCATCCAGTGATTGCGGAAGCAAGATTCCAGCAAATTCTCGGATCAACGCCAGGACAACATCACTAGCGGTGGTTGACTCTGCGGTTTGAGTAGCATCCGTATGCCCTATTGAAGGTAACACAGGGAGTACCCCTCGTCTCAATGGCGTCATCAGTAGCTCCCTAAATGTGACATGCACCCTGCCTTTCAGATATGGTTGTTGCTCGACATCAAATCCATTTTCTGCAATTCCTATCACATTGTCCACTAGCCGTGCTTCTGTCCCACTGGCATCAATGGCAGTCACAACACGAGCGGCTTGCTCTTTAACCCGATTTCTCCATTCGCTTTTAGATACCTTCAGGTGGGTATCGGTTCCATCCTCACAATCCAACACGACAGTACTGACCAGTCCAAGTCTACATAGTTTCGACAAGGTTTTCCCAATCCCATTCAATGTTTCATCATCTAGCAGTTGTGGAGCTCTGACTTTCACTAAAGCAACATGTAATATGGAGCCGCCCAATGTGGTTTGTGAGACTGCTGGTTGTTGTACAAACTTTGGACTTTCTGCCACAGCCCTTGTTGCTGTATATATGCTTCCCAAGTTTACGCCATTCTCATTTGTGTTTTGTTGGACGGGTCCTTGGGATTTCGGCTTTGCGGGAGAGGTATCTAGAGGTTTGAAGTTTTGAATGTAAGAGCGAGCTTCGCGTTTAGTTGCGGAAGAACCAAGGACCGATAGAAAGAAGTCCTGAAGTTTGTAAGTATTTCAATCGAATGGTTCGATGGAATATATCCCACTCTATCAATAGCTTTAGCCTTCTTCTTGGCTTGATGTTGATTCGAAAGCTTTTCGCAAGTTTCTTTTGCCAATTCTTCCCTCACTTTACTAGCTGCAGATTGATTGGAAATATATGTACGTCTTATATCACTACTTTGAACAAAATAGTTCCCATGTTTTGTCAATGATTGAATCTATGTAGAATGTTAGTAAATGTCTCACCATGGAAATAACCATTTGACTCACGTTATGACCAGCCGCTTCTTTGCCCTTTTTCAAGGCTAAATTTTGCAATAACATATTGCATATTGATTTGAATTATTCAGAAGAAATCATTTGAAAGCCATCTGGAAGGGAAAATATCAAGATCATAGTTTTCCAAAGTGAAGATAAATTGTTGAGAATAATAACAAAGAAAGAGAGGCATTTTCATTATATGAAGTAATAGATAATATGTGCTTGTGCGAAAGTCGATTCATATCTCCACACCATTCATCCGATAACGCTTTTCGATAAACGCGAACGGGGATAGGAAGCTCACACGTGAAAGTGTGAAAATGGAAAAAAAACATTATGATAAAGAGATCTTATCTGATGAAATCAAATCATAAGGCTGTACAGACGAGACATTGTGTACAGGGTGTGCAAAGAATACTTGGAGTCAGATATTTAGTCTTGTATGATGGTTCCTCTTTGAAGAGATAATAGATATACATATAGAACAAATTTTAAGATCTTGCCTAGGTAAAAAGTAATGATCGGCTCTCTACCAGTATGCGACGCTGCGCTGGGCCACTGTCGTGGAGGCTCTTTCGCTTCGCTCCAGGGGGAAAAGTATATTCAAACTGCATCCTAGGTAATGCTGCAGTAGATCGAACGCGACATGCTAATATGCCTTTGCATAGGTACCTGGGTACTGGTAGCCGGTAGTCTGAAATGGTCTGCCTCTACGGCAGTGGCCTCGGAGAGCCAGCAGAGCGTCCTAATGTACCGATACTGCAAATATCTTGGTTTTTACTTACGGAAAGTACACATTCTTCTCGGAATTACGTTATATATATTGAACTTGGTTGTTCCTTTACGATACCTTACCAACACTCACATTGCAAAGGGTAAAAGGACACGCTTCTCTTCTGACAGAACAAGGACGAAGGACTGAAGGACTGGTATCCGGTTACAATGAGCGAGTGAAATCGGTGTTTATCCCAAAGTCTTCCTTTGCTTTGTCAACAGTGGGACCAAACGGCTTCATTCCGACCTAGGTGATAATTGTAACTCCGATATACCATCACCATCTACATAGTATGTAATCATACATCCAATATCGGGACCGAATGGTTTGGTATGTATCTTCATAAATGCTCTTGAAAGACGTCTCAAATCCCAATTGAGAGAACAATTTCATACTTTATCATTTACACGTTATAGTAGTTTACTTCGTACATTCTCGTATCTTTCGAACCACACAAAACTCATCCAAAATGGGTCTTCAATTGGCATGGATCGGTCTTGGAAACATGGGTAGAGTTAGTTTCCCAAAACTACATACCCCGCAACTTCATTCAACAAGATAGACGATAGTTAACACAGATATCACAGGGCATGTGCAAGAACCTCGTCGAGAAAGGAAACCTCGATAATCCCCTCATAATCTTCAACCGCACAACCAAACGTGCAGAAGATCTTAGCTCTTCCCTCCCATCCGGCAAATCCACCGTCTCTTCTTCCATTACCGACCTCGTCTCAAAATCCGATATCATTTTCACATGTGTAGGAGACGATGCTGCTATCAACGAGACAATCGATGCCGGAATCAAGAATGGCGCTGCTGGAAAACTTTTCGTAGATTGTTCGACTGTTCATCCAGATACCACTGAAGATTTGGCCAAGAGGATTGGTGCTGCTGGAGGTGATTTTGTTGCATGCCCTGTTTTCGGTGCTCCTGCTATGGCGGAAAGTGGCCAACTTATCTGCGTGCTTGCTGGTTCAAAGGAGTCGGTAGAGAAGATTAAGCCATATACTAAGGGAGTTATTGGTAAAGCCGCTATTGATTTTGGTGGACAACCAGTTGGAAAAGCTTCGCTTTTGAAGGTTATTGGAAATACCTTTGTTTTCAATATGGTTGAGACTCTTTCCGAAGGACATGTTCTTGCAGAGAAATCTGGATTGGGTGTCGAGAATCTTCATCAATTCATCGAGGCTTTATTCCCAGGTCCATATGCCGCATACTCTGGTAGAATGTTGTCGGGCGATTATCACAGGAGGGAGGAACCGTTATTTGCTGTCGATTTGGCTAGAAAAGATGCAAGGCATGCTATGGCATTGGCTAAGAGCGCCGGTACTCAGATGAAGGCTCTCGAGGTCGCAGATGCTCATTTGGAGGGAGTCAAGAACCACAAGGGAGAAGCTGGTGACATTGCTGCTATTTATGGAGCTGTTAGACAAGAGGCTGGCTTGAAATTTGAGAATTAGAATGCGAGATTTGAATTGATATTGTATCGATTAAATGAACGTCGAAATTCAAATATGAAAAAATATGTCTATATGTAACAATCGACTGAAAATCATGAGACCAACAATACCTAATTAGTGAAGAAATGATAAGTAGATTTGATCGCATAAATTATTTATGTATAACGAAAAAGAAAGAGCTGACGCGCCAAGCCAAACCATTAGCGCGAGTAGTACCTGGAAACCTTGAACCAAGCTCCATCATTTAATCACCAACCTCGAATAAGACAACCGCCTTAAGCAACTCCAAACCCTCCGAATCCAGACCTCACGACTTCATTATCACAAATTCATCATGGCAAACGGGTATGGCTCATTGTCCACTCGTGCAATCGTATTCTGAAACTGCGAGATTAGATTCATAGCTAACAAGATGGATTGAATAGTTGGAGTATCGTCATTGGCCTCATTATTGTTGTGCTTGCTTCTGCGGCAGCATGGTTCCTTTCTCCTAAAGGCGAAAATCAAACGTATGTATCTATCGCGCCCCGGTACAGTGTATTTACAGTGCATTGAACTGGTTATGGATGAATGGATGAATGGATATGGGCAATTTTTTGAAATATCGATGGCTAATTTGTTGGTATACAGAATCTGGCGCAGTTCTCTCATCCTCTCTTTCGCAAGTTGTTATCTTATGTGGGGTACGTATTCCCATCGCATCGATCCAGATTACACGGAGAAGAAAAGAGAAGGGATGAGCATAAGGACAATACTGACATTGACAACAGCGATTACGTTCTTAGCGCAATGGCATCCACTCATCGTACCCAGAAGAGGAGACTTAAGACCGGACTATGCAAGACATATGAGTTGAGTGGCTATTACATTTGGACACGCATGATGGTGAAAGAGAATGAAGAAGGATGAGATGTATTATTTGGCGTTCTTGGGATGGGATCGACTCTAATGGAGGAATGAAATGCGACTCGTGTATACTTATAGGAATTGATTGTGGAAATGGAAGCTTTGGTTTGTCACGCACTGAATTGAGATTCCCCTTAGTCCGCCTCCACGGGCAATGGCCTCCGGAGGTCCAACTCAGCGATACTTGTTTCTGTTGATTGTTTCTGATGCGGTCAAGCTCCAAGACCCCGGTTTCCTCGCTGCGCTCGAATGTCGGTTTGCAATATGGTCCTGGGAGTATAGGCATACCTTGTGGGGATCTATACCTTTGCAGTAAAGTTGAAATTGCAGATGCTTAGTTTACTTTGGTAAATGGAGATCTATGAGCATATTATCGTGCTGCGCAGTAGTGCACCATCCCCCCTGCATGTTCTACTATCAGCCCCGTACATATCAATCATCTATGATGTTTGGGATATGTAGCATTCATATTCTTTTTCTCATGAACCTCCCTTCACTCTTCACTCTTCTCAATCACCCTAAGCCCAACCTTCCACCCCATTCTCTACCCAATTCCACTACCGCCCAAAGCGCCTTTCCATCGGCCGCTACCCCTGAATCCCCAACCGTGTCAACCCCATCCAAACCCACCGCCCAAAGTATCCCCCTCCCAATCATCCACCTGCTAATCGCTCCAACTGTCGCCAATATCGCTGCAGTCCCATATCCACAATCCAGTAATATTTTCAAAGCCTCCACATTATTCGCAACAACAGCCCATCCTAAACTTCTTGCCGCAGCCGGTACGTCATACTCCCATATTACCATCAAAATAGGGAATAATTTCGTAGAAGACGAGACTAGTAGCGCTGTAGATACGGAATTCGGACGTGTGTATTTTGGGAGGAGACCGAAGAATACTAGAGGCGAAAGTGGCGACGATGTGAGAAAGCGGATAGAGAGGTGAAAGCTAAGTGTTGAAAGGGCGCAGAGGATGAGAAAGAATATGTACTGGAATACAATGGGTTGAGCAGCTAGGCGGAGGAAATTCGTATTATCTGTTTCGATCGGAGCGGAGATGGGCGCGGAAGTTTGCTTTTCGATACGTGCCCATGTTAGGTAGACATCGAAGAGGAGGAGAAGGACACCAAGACGGATTATTGAAGGCTTGGAAGATAGATGTCAATATAAGATGTGTATCAGGGAAGGGAAACATCATACGTCAAATTGATCATGTTCTCTCATTAAAGTATTATGCAACAAATGTCTATAAACCTTTCCATCACCAAAACCATTAGCCTTCCCCTCCCTCAATTACATATATATATGTATGTTTGTGTGTAAACATCATAAGATTGAGAGAAGAGAAACAAACCTGTGGCTTAATCAAAACCAAATCAATAAACAAAACCACAAAATCATGCTCAACATATTTATCGCAAAATCGCCCACAATTCTTACAAACGGTTAATCGTACTCCATGACCAGTCGATCCTCCGGAATACTCGGTATAGAGCTGGGTAGTCGGGTAGCGACACTCGATACAGATGGGCATTTCATGTATTAGTGAGGAGAGAGGTGAATGGGAGAAGAATGCATTTTGAGGATATATTGAATTGAGATTGTGAGTGAGATGGGGAGGATTGGGGAACGCGAACGCGATGTGGAGGTGGTCTGTGCTGGAGCTTTTAAAACCCCGCCGATGGGAATGGATGTTTATTTTGTTAACTATTGAACTTTACGCTACCTCAACGTGACTGGTAGTATACTACTACATGCCCATCATAGAATGCTTCTTGAATATTTACATACTTTGCTCACAAACTAACTTGGTCAACTAACTCCAATTCCATTCCATGTTTTGGCGCTTAAACTCAACTTTGATACTTACACACTCTCCAGAGCAAACGACAAGATGTCTGAAATCACCTCGAACGGTACCAAAAAGCGCAAACTCACTACTAAGTCTTGTGAGAGAGATACTGCCATTATTGGTTTGCCAAATGAGACTCCTCCACCGAAAGCTCCTGGAAGAAGTGCTACAAGTGTTGCTCAAGCGGCTCAATCTATCGAAAATGCTCAGCCGGGTATGGAGTTTGTTCTTGCTGAATTGTCTAGATTACGAGAGCAAGTAGCAAAGTTGGAAAACGGAAATACTACAGACATAAAACCTGAACCAGGCTCGCCAGTTATCGACTTGACTGATGACGATGACGATGCAGCATCTCCCGTGAAACTAGAGCATGGATTAAATGCCGTTGATGATCTCTATAATGCGTAAGTCCGTCCGATCGTAAACGCACATTTTCCGTGCCTTCTTTCTCTCGATGCTTTGCGTATATTATGAATGGATTAAATACATAGCATATTGGCTTACTAACAATGTTAGCACGCCTCTGCGAGAATTGACAGAAGGCGACAGGAGTAGTACTTTGAGTGACGGCGAACAATTGGAATCTCCATCATTTCCACGGTTATCTGCTAAATGCACGGTTGAGTTTTTGAAGAGTATACATACGGAGGTATCTCAAGTACCCGTCATCGCTCAATGGGGAATGACAATGCCTGCCATCGTCAGAAGGTTTCCCTTGATGGATTTATAACTTCCCCCTCAACCAAATACAGCATTTTCTTATCGCTTTGTGAAGAATTGCTTAGGTGGAAAGTTCCATCGCAAATGGCTGGTAAGAGTCGAAGGGAATAGGACCAACTTTCCAGGTGCATTTATACGCATTGCTCAATCGCGAATTTGACCCCCTCGTTCCTCGTGTTCCTAGTGCACACGGTGCTCAGATAACACCAGAGCTACAGTTTTCAACTATCAAGCGGTTTCCTCTTTTCATTCGTGATAGCGATCACTCGGGATTTCGGTATTACGGGACATATAAAGTTATGCGATCTGTTTATCTTGGACATAACGAAATGCTGGAAGTTCCTGAACATGTCAAAAACTACTGAGCATGTAAGCTTGGGAACCTTCCTGTCAGTGGTCGTTTGAAGTCTGGTCCGAACGTCGAAATTCTGAAAGATATGTGACCTAAAGTTCCAACCGGATTGTGGGACACGACAAGAAAGGAGATATCAAGCTATACAAATGAACATAGTAACTTGGAGGATGGTCTTGAAGTATTAAAGAGATCTATCACAGACGAAGAGGCTCAAAATACCTCAAAGGATGAGATCTTGGCAGCTTTCGAACGAGTGTGTATATCCCCACTCCAGCGAACGGTGAGCTAATCAGCTTGTGTGGAATGATCTTGATGATGAGCCGGGTGTTTCAATGTATTACGAGTACCTCGAATGCGTTGGTTATGATGTTGATCTATACCAAACATTAGTGATCAAGATGAATGAGCTCTGCAAAGGGGGCTGAGGTTTCAATCTTACATCTGATCGACTTTACGATAGGGTCAAGTTTGAAGTGGAGCCTTTGGTGTCAAAGGCATAAGTCCCCGAGTCAGTAGCCATATGAATTCAATCCTAGCTTATAAAGGACTGGGATAATTGCGGAGAGCGTATAGAAGGAGAGATAATGCCTGTGATGGTGCTAGACACAATTTCTTACAATAGACGGGACAAGACACTCTGTCCATAATATTACTCACTACTCAATATTCAAAATCAGCTCGTTACCAATGCTTCTTTTTCTGTGAAAATCTCGTAAGCCAGAATAACATAGTAATAAATTGTCCAGCATGGGACAAAATTTTAGTTCCACGACGCTCACCAAGCCTGTCATATGGACGAGCCGACTTTATTTTTACATAAAATAGTGGGAATAAGAGTTGATTACCATCAAGCCATTTCGCTGCTTGAAAGATTCGTATTATATGAGTGGTTCATTTAGGTGGGCCTACGTATTCCCAATTGCGTTTGTGAGATTTAGGAGGCTATGCCTCACACATTAAAACTTGATGAAGTAGACTTTCTTGTGAGAAATCTCCCCGTCAGTATTTACACCAACCCCGCACATATGCGAACCAGCTTTAAGCCGTATGTTATACTTCAGTTCTGTACATGATTTTCTTGAGAACATAGCGAAGAGTACAGTGTGAGAGTGATCTTAAGATTCTAGGATTTTGATAGATTCTGTCGGCACTCAGATTTTCAGCAGGGTGTAGAAGTAAGCTATTATTTGACTCAATTTTCTTGATGAACTTGCCCACTTAGAGAGCTGTGTTTGGTAACAGGCGCGTGTGGCCAATATTGAAACCTGCTATTCAAACGAATTTGGCATCAAAAATGAGATGATTCATTAACAGCCTATTAGAAGTTCAATATATCCATATATGCACTAAAGCTCTCTCCGTTTATTCTTTCACATATCGAAATAAAAGGATCCAATACGCTGCCTAGGAACATTTTACCAGTCTGAGTATCGTGAACTGCAACCGTGGTAGCTGGTAATGTGTTCCCGTCATCTTCCATCATTTTAACCACATTCCAACCCCATCCTTCTCCCTCACCCATCTCGCCTAATTTAATGATCCTAAACACTGCGCTTGGAATATTGGCCTCTATATTCTGTGAGTTTTTGATTGCTTTATGCAAGGCAGGTACGGTGGCGGCGTAAATATCTCCATTCTTGTCGACACTTATATCATTGATCGGATATGGGAGGTTGATAGTATCAACTTTTCGGAGACGTTGTTCTGGTTCCAAGGAAAATACTTGGATTTGACCAGAGATAGATGAAGGAACATAAAGCAAGTTGTCATGGCCGAGCGCTATCCCATTAGGCACTTTGAGGTTTCCAGGAGATTTCGTCGCACCGCACTCTGTGGAAGGAGGCATACAATAACCGATGCTTCCACCTCCAAGAACGAGGTTTGAATATCCTCGCTGAAGACCAAAGATTAGCGTGAGTTTCGTGTTCAACTTTGAGATGACCTACCGAACTACCCTTTGAACTATGAGCATTCGTAAACATGAATAAATGCTCATCGACCCAAGCCACGTGCCTAGGTGTTTCAATATCGATATTCGTGAAGGTTTGCTTATGGGTCATGGTTTTGCTTCCCAATGTGGTAATAAAGTACTCAATCGTACTATTTGAATCCGTCTGGGTTTGGTTGAAAGGATCTGCTTTTCCAGTGTCTTCGAAAGGGCGATCATTGACGAGAACGATGTGCAACTTCTGATCATTTTTCGAATCCACTCGGATATCAAATCCATGAAGATTAAGTCTCCCATCGTTATTTATCCCTTCAAAATTTTGTGCTTGGAGCCATGTCAATCGGCTCTTGATCGGGCCAGCTCCACGTGTGTCCAGGACGGCAATTCGATCAGACAAACTGCGGCCTGATGCATTTAGATGGTTCAAACTAAAGGACTTAGTTTGTAAGAATTAAAAGTATATGTTGCTGGAGGCATACCTCGGAAACCACTCAGTTCGACCCCTTGTATCCGAACATGCCATATAAAGCATTCCACTTTCTTGGTGCAACCACAAATCTGCACAACCAGCCAAACCTACATCATTAATCTTCTCACATTCGACATCGAAGTTGAGGAAAGGTTCTAAAGCGCGATTGTATCCCAAGGTGCCAAGAATCAATGATTTGTAAATAAATTGATAGAAGATGGTACCGACGACTACACCTACCAGCGCGAGCCGGACACCTATTCTTGCCATGAATCTCAAGTTTAAAAACATAAAGAACAAAAGTAACGGATGATGATGGGATGAATCTCCTCATAATATGTGGCCATTTCGCTCAGACACAGGTTTGAAACCTGAAAAATTACTACGCTATGATCATGTTCGACTTCGACATCAACCCTCAAATTGACAGGTCCAATATGTCTGAGCAGAAACTACGAGGCTCCTTCATCTGATCAAGTAAAGTTATCATTGTTCGCGAATGTCAGAAGAAACAACCGAGTGCTCCGAAGTCACGAGTCACTCATGTGATGTGCTTTGTTGATTGGGGCCCCCAGCTGCGAATTATCAGTTGATATGATATGAAATATCGTAGAATGAGAAGTCGATCTGATAGAATTTAAGCTTGAATAACTTGAGTCCGCTTTGAAAGTACAGCTGGTAAGGTTACATGATACAAACAGAACTTGGGGTTCGGGAGTTTAGGTCATGTTTATCGAATCTACATTAGTCCGTCCAATGTCGTTTGTCCTAGCCCATGGCGTAATTTGAGTTGCTACAAGACAAATGTTTCAGTAGCTGGAAGAAATTGAGGTATATGGAAGACGCTTGAAAGTATCGGTTTGGCATGTCAAGGTGGGAGATAGCCAGATCATTCATCACGTGATGACCTGTGTAAGCCCGGCCTCTTCTTTTTCTACCAGGAACAGATATAAAAATCTACTCTTGACCATATCCCCCTTCATGAACTCGTATGGTCTGCATCTTCCCAATGCTTTTCAAAATCGCTAGATTTTTGAAGAAAAAGTCCCCGCAACTTCTAGTTGTACGTGAAACCAAAATTGATGCAGAAACTCCTTCCTCGAATGATAAGCCACTTTCAAAGCTTGAACCGTCTTCAAATGACGAACCGCCGTCAAAGAATGAGCTTCCCAGTCTCTTACGCCTACCACTTGAGATTCGTCAAATGATCTATATGCAATTGCTCACATGCAGACCTATGAAAATACAGTATCCGTATCGTCCAACGAGGAATTCCCGTCCTCTTCGCATTCACATATCTCCGGAGTGTGAGGTATACACGGGTTTCTCAACCCATATTTTGCTGCCCGAATGTCACATCGAAAAGCTCACCGTTGGCCTCCTCAGCGTGTCTCAACAGATCAGTGATGAAGCTCTCAACGTTCTGTACGGGCACAATGAATTCACTTTACTTTTCTACAGTCCCTCATGGTTTAACCACAGCACTCCATGTACATTAAATGCCGGTAATATGAAGCGTATTCGTGATATACACATGATATGCGAGCGGCGAATCCTACTGAAAGAATATTCAATAGTGAATCTCGAATTATGGCTTCCACTATTGGTGAACGTACGTCGATTCGAAATTTTCGTGCAAAATCCTCTTGCTAGAAGTAAATTTGATGCAGAGCAGGGAATTGACTGGATTGAACCACTTTTAATGACTGTGGCTGAAATCTCAGGAACAAGACCTCGTGTTACAGTTGATGATGAAGGGAGTGCTCCGACGATCAATCTTGTAACGAAGTGTTTTGGCACTGGATTTGGAAATTTGGTCCTTTCTATGGAAGAGAGTTAGAGGACTGCCCACGTTGTTCGAATGGGATTAGGAGGTGAAGTCGGGCATGGCTGGAGGATAGTCAAGCTGGACGTCCTGGTTACTGGTCTCGGTACCAGTCCGGGTGTCAAGAGATAATATCAGTGTTAAGGTCAGGATATAGTATGATAGTATAATGCTGGAGCTACTGAAAGAGGCTGGCACTTTTGATATAATGCAAGATTATCTGACCCAGGAAACTGAATTTACCTAGCCATAGCTAGCTCTACCCCTGAGACCATTTCGCGTAACTTGAACAAAACTTCAACCATGCTTCTACAACTTCGTAAGCTACACACTCGACGCGTCAAAAGATTTGAATCGGAAAGCAAATTCGGCAAATTCATCAATCATATTTGGCCATTGGCAGAAGATATAAGCCAGTATGCAATCCCAACACCAAAGAGAAGCCAGCGCTGCTTTTGCATCTGCACCTGCGGGGAATCCCTGAGCCTCTTATCCACCTAGTCCGACCCGCAAATTTACCCCAGCTTTCACAATTCGGTTTTCATGTGAAGAAGAAAATAACGAGTGTGTCATTGAATTCTTTCGCTGCTTTTAAACAAATTTGACTTCCCCCCACGCTTCATGACTACATATCCCTGGAGAAGACTGATACCATAAATTAATATGCATAGCGTGGAACCTGTAGATCATGATATGAAATTGCGAGCACATGAAAGGAAATCTACAAAGTCCAAAGCTTGACCAACATGATGCCCGCCAATAGGCGTAATCTTTCAGGGGCGGTTAAGTAAGTCTAAGCCCTAAACACGTCTGGTACCTCGGCCGATGTTGCTCTAATCTTCAAGCTTCCAAGCTTACAGCTACAGTATTTAGTTCAGTGACACCATCATGCATATGATGGGATGCAAATACCCCGGATGGATAAAATAGATAAGGTATGGAATCAATTGCGATCGCAATATTCTTCAAGAAATTGTTTTGCTTCTCTGAATATATCCACATGAAAGGTGTTGGTAAAGCTTCATTCGGTTCCTCTTGGAATTTCGCAAAACTCAACAACAATATATACAATTCATGAACATCTATCTATCATGCGACGCAGCCGTTTAAACTTTGCTTGTTTATTCATTGTCATAGCCGGAATACTTTGGCTATCACATTCGACAATAAAAGAAACATATGATCGTGCGAAATTGAATTGGACGGCACGGAAGGGAGATAATGGATTATTTCATAAGCCGGACGATGGAGTCATATCGAGTCCAAACGCAATCATTCCACCAGTTGAAATACCAATTGCAGCAGAGGTTCCCCTAAATCTCAATTTCCCACCTCAAGCTCCCCCTTCTCCTCTCGATGCCTCAACTTCAACTATAGAAAGTAGCTCCGCATTCGACGACACCAAATATCCCTTCCAAGACGATCTATCCCTTCCTCTTCCAACTGTCGATCTCAAAACTCTCGCAAATAAATGGCCTCACAACTATGACCCCGCTATGCCAGTGGGTTCAAGATTTGCCTATGCAACTTTCATGAATACACATAATCCTTCAATTCGCGACCCCTATTTCATGGCTGTCCAATCTCTCATTTATCGTGTTCTTTGGCGATCGTCTTCTAAAACTCATTCTTATCCATTTATCACCTTCGTTGCTTCCCATGTTACTCAAGAACAAAGACAATTACTCGCAGGCGCGGGAGCTATCGTCAGAGAACTGGGCCCATTGGATTGGAACCCTAGTAAAAAGGATTTGACAGATGGAGAAGACAAACCGATCTATTCGCGATGGAAAGATACCTTTTCCAAATTACACATGTGGGCACAGACGGATTTCGATCGGATATTATTTTTGGACGCGGATGCTTTTCCGTTAGAAAATATTGATGAGATGTTTGGGTTGGTTGCTCCTAGAGCCTGCAATGTACTCAAGCAAGAACCAAGTGATCTTTTCCCTGACGGATCAGCCAGTTGTAATGGTGAAGATTTCATCTTCTCGGGAGTACCTCAACTTCCCGGCATTCCGGTGGAGATCAATGTGGGAGCGATGGTGTTTACACCGAGTCAATTAATTTATAATAGGTTTTTACAGAATTATCAGAAATACAATATGTATAATACGAATATGGCAGATCAAGCATTCTTTGCATGGCAGTTCAAACAAGATGGCGCGTTTCCGGTAACGCCATTGGAGAGGAAATGGGGAGGATTCTTTCCCCATGAAGAAGACAAGGGGGAATTGAAGGTGGTTCATGAGAAATTGTGGGCTGCGCAAGGGTGGCTACTGGAAGAGTGGATGGAGGGTTGGAGGGAAATGCTGGAATGGTATGATGGGAGTGGCTTTGAGGGGGAAAGAAATAAAGATGAATTTTTCAAACCAAAGTTGGGAAAACATTCGGGGAATGAGGAGATGTTGTAGGGCCCGTTGAGGTTATTGCATGTGAAATTATGTGGCGACCCGGTAAGATGAGTTGGATGTACATATCCTAGCGGTTACGATCTTATACCTTCTTGATATGCCAGAGTATTTGGAGTGGCTTGTCTTGATATATTCAACTAGACTGATACTTTATAGACTCATTATCCTGTTCTTATCTCTATGCGATAAATGCATGAATTGTAGGAGTAGTAGATATAGGGGGAGACACTTGACCAGCTTGGTTATTTGACATGTAGCCGTGCCAGTGACTGATTTATGTAGGGCAGAGATCAATTAATGATAGACATATGACCTATTGGGTGATGCATCCTCCCAAAACTCAATCACCGCTCATGCACATGCATTATTTGCAGGCAATAAATGCCATTGTAAATTACAACTGGGGCTTGATTTCCATCAAGACATTCTTATATACCCCATTACCAGCTCCGATTGTTGATGAACCTACGCGATTCCAAGCTGCTCGCTGGATGAGCAATATGACTTGAAATACTCTTACCAATCAAAGTGAAAAATAAAAACGACTTCCATCTTTATTACACCAACCAAGTCGATCTTTGTGTACCCATTCGACTCTATTCAACCTTCGTTTAACCACCAGACATCGTTCTCACCACTTTTTTGTACCCCATTTCCAGTTCCTTCATATCCGTCCACAGCCTCATCTTCCTCAGGCTCTAGAGATACCACGTCAGCCCACTCTGCGTTTCCACTATTCCACTCCCCGTACACACCACCAGAATTCATTTGCACATCATTTTCGCCTGGTATTTTTGCCTCAACCCCAGCGTAAGGATCAGCATCAATATCATTCGACATGTCATTCCAGTCAATTTCGGCAGAGGCATCAACGCCATTACTGTCCCCTCCGCCCTCCACATATCCCTCATCGTATTCTGGTCCTGTATCCATATTTGTATCCGAAACTGGAAGCGCCGCCGTTTCATCATATCCTGAATCAGATGAATGGCGAGAATCGGATTCGGAGGAAACAGACGATTCTACGCATTCTTTATCCTTATCTCTGGTTGAAGGTTCTTCATTATCTTCCTCATCGCTCTCCCATGTGATTTCGTCTTTATCATGATTGATATCCACGTCAATATCAAAACCCACTTCTTCCGGTGTCAAATTACTCCCTCCATTGCCCTGAGAAGCGAGACCCTCGATTCTAAGCCCTTGTGTCAGCCCTGGATTTTTCTCCACTTCTTCCATCAATGCCTCTTCCAAATCATTTGCCAAATTTGGTGGGGCACCTAATCCCGCGGCGTCTTCAATCTCGGTTGGTGTGTCTTGATCGGAGAATGGTTGACTCTGTGAGAGAGGGACAGTGGGGGATGTGAAAGGTGGAATTACACCTTCGCCTAAAGTTAAGCTTGGGAGAGCAGAGCTTGTATTTGTAGGGGAAAATAAAGTGGAATCTTGGGGTGGATGAATGAATCCATGATGTGGATGATGTTCGTGATGATGACGATGATGAACATGTTTGTTGTCGGTGGAAATGGATTGCGGCAAATTTCTGGAGCGGGAATGGTTTGGTTGAGAGGGATCAGTGGGGGTATTGCCTGGTACTTTGAGCTTAGGTATCTTAGAGAGGCGATCAGAAGAGCTTTGAGCTATTTTGCGTTTAGGTGAACTGGAGCTGGGATTTGCGTTGGTGTGAGACGTCATTGTATGTCTGTGTTTATGATGTGACTTGAAGCTTCGAACGGATGATTTGTGCGAGTCAAGCTTTTGAGATTGTGTATGTGATTTTGTTGAATGCATGTGTTTGAACGGAAGATTGATTACACACTACGCGGATTAAAAATGCTGCTTGTAGATTGTCTTGTGGCGGGAAACGTGGACGTAGATGTTGAATGTAGATAGAGATTTGAAAGCTGCCATCGAATGATAATCGAAATGAAGTCAAGGTGGAGAGCTACGAGTGAAGGTAGAACAACAAAATAAATGACAAAGAGAATGATTGGTAAAGCTGAGTTCAGTACCCCTCATAACACGTGTGAAAGAGTTTGTAATTTTTAAGACAGATTACTTGCCTCGACTACCAGAACGAATGGAACATTCGATGGTAACGGTTACTGGTATCTGGCTACTTATAACAAAGAAATTTTCGACAATAACGATGAGCGGAAATAGATTCATGGAATGAAGGTAGACAAAGGGGAGATTCACGAGTTCTGGATCGAACTTATTCTTGGGATATCCAATGATCCTTTGTTTGATTTAGACTTGGCATTAAATGTTATTGTTTGATAATAGCCTAAGTCAATGATAGGCATAAATGTATGATATCAATAAATATCATTCAAAAGCTAATAAGCTATGTCTTGGTGCCAAAAGAGAAAGTTCCAGATACCCAGGAAATCCAAAACGCCATCGTATGTAAAACCATGCCAACAGTGTGTTCCTAACACCTAATTCCGAATATTCAATGCCGTAAAAGTATGTAGTAGAAATAAATAAGAGGAACTCAACGAAAATTGGCAATCCCCATAAAAAGTTTATTGCGCGATGCTCGCACCAATACTAGACAGGTACTGACACCTCGCCATCTGTACATCTGGTATGGTTTCCATTGTAACATTTGCAGTGGCTGTCCCTGTAACGTTCTCGGCTTGAAAAAGTATCCTCTGATAATTACTAGTCTTTAATTGTTCCCATCTGGGTGCACTTTTGAGCTTATATGTATTAGGGTCTTTGCTCCTAATAAAGCTGGTCCAGTATGCTTGAATGGATGGTATGAGAGCAGAATCTGGTGGTCCACTGCTACCCCAAATAGAACCTGATTCGGAAGTATGCGTAACACCATACCCACTGGCAGCATTTGCAGATGATAGAACGTCCCAATGGTAATTCCAATTTCCAATTGATGGGGCGTAGAAGTCATGAGAGCCGGATAGGTAGATTCCGGGACAATTGTAGCGCATCTCGCCATAAGCAAGAGCTGCTGCACTCCAGTATGTGCCAGCGTTTGGATATTGAGGCCCCTGAGGGTAGTACTCATGGATGTTACTTAGTTGATCATCAGTAAGTTTGACGAAATTATCCTTTAAAAAGTTGGACATTTCGGCGCTGGAATTAATGGACTGAGGAGTAAATATTGTGCCTTCGTTTGTGTCGTCACTAGAATGAAGAGAACATCGTGTTAGTCTTTTTGGCATAGGTGAGCAGCAGTAAAGAAGGCATACCCATATATCGCAGGAAGTTGAACATATTGCCCAGTGGCAAATAACTTGTAGGTATAATCAGGAGTGAAAACGCCGTCAATGACATTAGACCACATAAACGCCGGATCATCTCCTGCGCCACCTGGTGTTGGAACATTGATATTGCTTTTGGCAAGGATGCTGATATCCAATCCCCTCAAACAAGCTAGTGTGTCACTTTGCCCAGCACAACCAGTTCGTTGAACTAAACCATCGTACTGATATTGTGACTCGTCTACCGTGAGCTGAGCACCGAAAGACTGACTTTCGGCCGCACTAGCATGGAAGAGTCCATCATCGCGACCTCCATATGCAGAAAGCTGAAGATCTACAGAAGCCGCACCCGCGCTTGCTCCTCCAATTGTTACATGTGATTTATTACCTCCAAACTGCTACATATTAATTTCATATGCTATAGTAGACGTATTAAGCCCAAACACTGGCAAAAACTTACTTGTTCAATGTTCTTCTGAACCCATTCAAGCAGGAATCGTTGATCTTTCAGTCCAACGTTTGTATCACCATTCGCCACAACTTCCTTACTGGTCAAGAAACCCCAAGGACCAACACGATAATTGAACGCGACTACGACGATGTCGTGGTGACCCGCTGCAATCAGACTAGTCGCATTCAAGTTTGGGCTGGCAAGGGTATTAAAGCCACCACCCTGAAAGTAAACAAAGACAGGGTGGAGTTTGCTTGCATCAGTGGGTGCATAGATGTCCACGAAGAGACAATCCTCGGTTGTTTTGGATGAAAGCGAGGTCGAAGGTGACGAGTGACAGACTCCACCATGCTGTAATCCTTGAGTCAGTAATGACGAATAAATGAAGTGGGCAAAGTGCACACCTTGTTTGCTATCTGTAAAGTATTATTTACAGCGGGACTTTGAGGGGCTCGAAAACGCAGATCTCCTAAAGGAGCAGCGGCATATCGTAGTCCAAGCCACTGAGTGACGCCGTTACCATTATTAGTTCCCAAATATTTTGAGTATCCTAGATCAACAGTTGTGTTGATCGATGGTGTCGGTGCTGGAGCTGCAGATGAGCAGGCAGCAAGCGTCAGGAATATCAAAGTATTAAACATTTTCCAACTTTGCAAACAGTTTCTTTGCTTAGATTGGAATGAAATCTAGGACTGGACGGAAGAGGGGAATATTTTTGGCAAAGGATTCGATGTTTATATGCATGTTGCAGATACCTTCTGAATCACTGCATGAATATTAGCCCGATGAAAGGTATTGACATGATCCACAACAGTTTGTCGCTGAAGTGTTTCTGCGAAGGGGCTTTGAAAAGGGCACACAAGATCCATCTTTTCCTTTTTTGCTATGCATCCTGGAGGAAGGTGAGCACACTAATACCCCTGCTACCGAGATTCAGAATGAAAAACGAGAGATCTGACAAGGTTTTGTGATGTGCGGAAGAAAACTCAAGAAGATATAAATGTATGTTATACCTCGAATTCGTCACGTAAAGGCAATTTAATTGATCATCTGCTCTTCTATTGCAGATATCGTGATGCTTGAGACCGTCCAGACACAATAAAGATGGGGTACAAGAACTTACATTGCAGCCAATCGTTACATGTATTGCCGAGAATGCGGGGAATGGGGTGGAAATCAAAATGGTGTTATTGTCAAGTGATTTCGGGAAGTTGAATATACACAAGGTAAAGACCACAAAGACATCATCTTGCATGTCTCAGAGGGTGTCATTTTTTAAGTTCACTCGCGACCTTTGAGTATGAGGTGAGATAAATTAAGATTACCCACACAGATGAGATGAGATTCAACGTGATTGATGAGAAGCGAGGGGAATGCTATGCTGGTTGGTATTGAGGTACGAAGTACTATAAATAGCAGTGAATGGATGGATCTCGACTCTCAGAGCACAGCCTGCAATTGCGAGATTTTTTTTGAATTCACGCTTGAGGAGGGGGATGGGATTGGAAGAGGGAAGCGCACGGACCTTCGCCAACTACTTATCTAATCTAATAAGCTTTACCGAGTACCTACGAACTCTTGTTGCTCTACTTTGAAAAGCTTCAGACTCTGTGGGGGCAGCTTACACTCTGTTAACCACCAATGTCACCCTAAAACGAAAAGGTGGCTTGGTAAGATTACATTCGTCTGATTGTATATCCCTCGAATTAAAGGTGTGCTGTTGGATTTGGAAGGGGCTGAGGACATAACTTTTTGTACCCTAGTCACAGCCGTGAATCTTTCAATAACTCTAAAGACGACCAACAACAACTAACAATGACAAACAGCAAAACGATGAAAAGGCTATGTCCATCTAATTTAAAAGAATTCCTACGAAGAGCTTACTGAACTCATCTAAACCTATCAGTTCTGAGAAAGTCCCTCCAGGCTATCCCGCTTATCAATAGTTGGATTACCCGCGTTCATCAATATATTCACACTCTAACAAACTGAAATCTGATAAACGCCCTCGTAAGTACATGTGAATCATGAAACTAGGTAAAACGTAGTAAGTATTCAAATCAAGAACTCAAATGATAAGTACTTGCAGTTCAAGCTGTTCACGCTGTTTGTTGATACCCGGCACGTTTGGGTGTGATCCAAGGTGAAGTATGGATTAATAATCCCATGAACCTATTACAATTGCTTTACTTGAGTGTCCTACTTCTCTTGTCAATGATTCTTCGACATGAAGGAGAAGCTGCGTTGTTCTTAGGACCAATTCTGAGCGGATATCATCAGTACTTTCCCCTCAAATCTCTTGCAAACCCGGCTTACCTTCATATTGAAGCTTATAGAAAACAGGAGCTTCCTCATCACGATGTAGCAAAATTGGAGCAGGTGCTTCTTCCCACCTAGATACTTTGAATTTCAATCCAACATGTTTCTCGGTATCGGTCCACAATAGCCGTTTTTCGCATTCTTCTGGGCTGTCAATGTGCCTCTCGTTCGCATCAACGCGATCCGACAGCCAGTCTCTAAAAACTCTTATGACTCCCTCGCCAATATTAACGCAACTTAGAAACAATCCTCGTTTTGGACCAACTTTAACGATATTGGTGATGGTGCAAAGTTGCGAGAAAAGTTCATGTGACTCAAGATCGACGATTTGAGATACAAGTCCATCGTCTGATTCTGGTAGAAGGGTTGGTCTAGCACTACCTGCCAGATGTCGTATTCTTTCTTCAGACTGAAGCGGCCTAAAGCGCGAATATAAACCGGCCATTTTACCTAATCTCCCTGTATTGTTGACATCTTTGTATATATCTCCCTCTCCAACAACGTCGTCACTTAGTCCATCTGTGCCAAGATAATTGCACAAAGCGTATGGGGTGATGAGTTTCGTAGAGGGATGAAAACACTCAAGGATCAATTTGTGATTCTTCAAAGACGCTGCTGCAATGAGGCGATGATGTATGATTCGGATTATGAGATCATGGAAACGATGGCAGGTACACGCGAGAGGAAGAAGTCGACGGGTAGAAAAGAGTGAAAGGACATTGATGAGGAGCTTTGATATTGTTAGCCAGCTAGTTCATAGGGCTAGACAAAATGGAACACTGACCTCATTAGGTATTGAAGCAATTCCAGTGAAACTATCCACCATTTTGCCGACCTTTGAGTGTCAAATAGTGTGATGAAAAAATGTATGATTTTGGCCAAAGTGAAGCAAATTTATATACAACAAGCTCAACCCTTATTATATTCATCAGATATTTCGAATAGTTCTCGGTGATAAGCCTCTGTGAAATTTGAGGACACGAAAGCACCAGATAAATACGAGAATCGTGGGTATGTCGGATGATATTGAATCAGGAGTAAATCTGATAGATGACCTTGGAGGGTGGTAGCCGTAAAAACAATCTAGACTGTCTAATCAAACCTATGCATTTTTGGGTGGCGACAGATGCAATGAACTTGAATGAGAGTGGGTAGTTCTTTTCTTTGTCCCATGAGATGAGACTGCGAGTAGGGTGAGATATCAAACGCGAGATGCTAGGTAATAGTGACAGTTGTGAACAGTTGTAAACAGTGGCACAGTGTCGTTTTGGGTGTAGAAATGTAGAAGTGTACCTATGCAATGTAACTTCTTTTAATTAATGGAGAAGATATCGATGAGGATGTATGATGGACGGCAATTGTCATTAGAGAAAGCGTTGAACATCATGCCGTGTCATGCCATGCCACGCCATGTCATGTCATCATTCGTTGATTCATGTCGATTCCCCCTTGGAATAATGACGGAAGTGGTAGGTATTTTTCAAATCGATCGATAAGAGATCCCTGTGTTTCAATCTAAAAACGCGTTTGTTAATGCATGCCGGAATATATCCACAAATCACGTGAAGAAAATCGGTAAAGTATGTTCGATCTCGGAACAATATCTATTTTATACAATCGTATGTCATTTGATTGACTGAATCTCAGAATAGAAATTGTGACTTGATAAAACGATGATTCCCGCCCTGAGAAACTCTGGCTGCTCTCCGTTTACCACATATTCCATCGAACAAAGATTTCTATGTAATGTGAGAAGTCTACTCCACTGGAACTTAACCACCGCCAAGTTGCAATTTTAAGGGGGTCGGATCGGGCAAGAGGAACACTGTTGATCTCGAACCTACCCAAGGACACTCCGGGCGAAAGATTCATGATTCCTGCCTCAAGCTTCGAGCTTTTAAACGATCTCACGAAAGGGGTCTTGCTTATCAAGCCGTCCCTTATTCGCCTCGATGGACTACACCACCATGACATTATAGAAGATTCTCGCTACCCATCACTTTATGAAGTTTACAGTCTTCTTGATTTCAAGCCAGTCGGCTCTGTTAAGATTCACTCAGGAAACTCAACTGAATCTACTGCAAAATAATCCTACAGCGCGTGTTATTGTAACTAAGCCGTGATCTTTTCCATCTTTGTCTTTTTATTCGTTTCTTGCCGTTATTTCCCGTTCACAGAAGAAATAGACGCTTTGTTCATCATGTCCGAAGTGTACTATTTCTCTTTTACCATGGACGATTCAAAATTTACTATACATCTTCACCACAGCATGGTGGGTCTTTGTGTGGTTGAGGATGAGTTTGACCACGATGTCGAGGATGGTTCAGACGGTTCGAACGATGCAGATGATGAGTTTAACGAAGATCCCAAAAACGATTCAGACGATCCTCAGAACGATCTCGAGCACAATTCTGAGGATTAAGGCAATGAACCTGTAGGGAGCGTTTCAAAAACATAAAGCATGGCCTTTTTATATGTGAAATCTCATAGGAAACCCCTCCAATAAAAACAAGAAAAAACAAAAACAAACAATAACCAAAACCCATGATTAAGCTGGTCTCTACTCAGATCCATCAATAAGTCGGCCTAAACGAAAATAATAAATCTACGTGAAAATTCGGGGCCTTTTGCCAGTTGAATGTAATATAAATCTGATATCATAATATAAAATGAGAAGAAAAATGCCTATTCCATAATAACATACATTTGTATATATAACTTCACGTGAAATGAATTTGTATAACTTGGAGAAAATTCGATACTTGTCCTATTGTACAAATTAACCATTGTTTGTAATAAGTCTTGGCTGATAATATCGACTCCTCTTGTAGGATCTCAATATTTGTTAACATATACTATACTCACAACCCCTCGAAATGCCTTGAATGCAGTCTCAACTACTGCATCCAAATCCAATCCACTTATTATGTATGTCCTCTTCATCTTCCCCCTCCCGTCCGGCTAGTCCCTCATCCCATTCTCTTATTTGACATAAAATCCCCATTGCAACCACATCCAGATCAGAGTCCCCGTTGACACCGCGGCTGGTCCTGCTAATCCCCTGCCCATCTTCGTAGTGCCAAACACCAACCACTCTCCCATGAAATGTAACCACGCAACAATAAATGTCGCGTATCCCAATTGATATATCTGTGGGTTGCTAATATGATATGCGGTTTGAAGACGAACGATCGCAGTGATAAGAGTCCATGTTCCGAATGTGCGCGAAGAGAGAGGAGTGGCAGATGTGGTTAAAGGATAGGATTGGGAGGTACCTTTACTAAGTGGGATACTGGATATGGGGATGGCGTTATAGATTTGGGAGTTAAAGTGGAGAGTAAAATAGCATTGGACGGTATTGAAAAGAGAAGTGACGGAGATCTAGTGTTAGATTAGTACTGAGACCATATATGAGGCAAGGACGGTGACACTCACGAAAAGAAGCCATTGGGGAAGTACACCTTCATGTTGAGGCAAGTATGCGGTGAGGCTAGTGAGGAAACTCATGTTGAGAAACTGTATTGGAATCTCCGCTCGAGTATGAGATTGAGAAGCGTTTGTGCCGTGATAGTGGGATCACGCCAATGTAAATCAAAACCCGAGAAGCGTTCAGTCAGTCAGCACAACGAAGTAAACAAAAATTAGAGTTTGAAGATCAGCCTTGTACAGGGGTTGGGAACTAAGCTCGCGTGGTCCCGCACTATTGGCAAATCATGTTAGACATTGTTAGTGCCTCGAGTATCTCCAATAGTGAGATGCTACGAGGCTACTCGGTGTTATCATGAACGAATACCGGGCTGAGATTTAGTGGATTTCCTCACCAAAACTTAGTCCAAAGTCATCACCTATTTCTAAGTCCTGGTGGTCTCAACATTTCTCTGAATTGTCTTCCTCTTCTTTCAATTCATTGACAATTGACAAAATGGTTCTCGATACTATTCTGCCAAAGGCTGTCCTTACTGGACTTGCTGGTATTGGAGCTTTCATCGTCGCTGGCAAAGTTATTAGCTACATCCAGCTTTTATTGAGTCTTTTCGTCCTATCAGGGAAGAATGTAAGGATCCTTGATACTTGATGTACCAACAGTTGTAATTGGGTAGAGTTGACTAACATACTCGAAATAGCTTCGAACCTACGGAAAGAAAGGAACTTGGGCAGTAGTGACTGGTGCTTCTGATGGTCTCGGCAAAGAATATGCAATTCAACTTGCCCAGAAAGGATTCAATATTGTCCTTGTCTCCCGTACTGAATCGAAACTTCAAACTCTCGCCTCCGAAATTCAAACCAAATATGCCGGCTCGAACATCCAGACAAAGATTCTTGCCATGGATTTCGCTGCCAATAGGGATGAGGATTATGCAAAGTTGAAGGCTCTTGTTGATGGACTTGATGTAGGAATCTTGGTCAACAATGTCGGACAAAGTCACAGCATTCCAGTGCCATTTATTCAGACACCAAAGGAGGAAATGAGAGACATCATTACCATCAACTGCACAGGTACACTTCGAGTTACCCAAATTGTAGCCCCTGGAATGGTTCAACGCAAACGCGGTTTGATCTTAACTATGGGTTCGTTTGGTGGATGGTTACCGACTCCTTTACTGGCTACATACTCTGGAAGCAAGGCATTCTTACAACAATGGTCAACATCCCTTGGAGGCGAACTTAAGGGTACAGGCGTCGACGTCGAGCTAGTATTGAGCTACCTTGTTACGACCGCAATGAGCAAGATTCGACGTACCAGCATGTTTATTCCAAACCCAAGAACATTTGTCAAGACTACTCTGGCCAAGATTGGTAGAAGTGGAGGAGCTCAGAAGATGGCTTATACAAGTACACCATTTTGGGGTCATGCGTTAATGCAATGGTGGTTAGAGAATACCTTAGGAGTCGGAGGGTCGTTTGTGGTAGATCAAAATAAAGGCATGCATCAGAGCATCAGAACCAGAGCTTTGAAGAAAGCCGAAAGGGATGCTAAGAAGGCATGATTCAATGAACCAATAGAGCTTGACCAGGCTGAGGAGCGAAACGAAGAGTGGAAGGCGAGCGGTGGATGAACGAAATGCACAAATTGCTAGACGTCTTATGCTAGGAATTGGGTGATTGGCTTCATGATGACAGTGAGGAACTCATGAGAAGCAACTATAGATTAAATCTTCTCTGGTTTTTTCGAGATAGATGAGAAGAGTATACAATCAATATCATCGTGACACTATACTCAGCGTTATATATTCCGGGATAGACCTCGTATAGCTTGAGTATTAGAAAAGTTGGTTAGAGATGATACTTATTCACTGTTACCTTTCCGGCTAATTGTAATGGTAATGACTTCCTCAAAAAGTGAATTGTGAAAAAGAAAGTCCTTCTTCTGTTGAAACAAAACTTTCACAAATACGGCGTACAGGTATTCCATCCTACGTACCTATACATCTAGTTACCAGAGTATTTCTTATTTATTGATCATCTTTCAATTTGTTACCTAGATTTGTAAAACCCAATCTACCCAATCGACCAAATCTCTATTGTTTTTTTTACAACCCGTCACGTGCCTCGAATAAATATTTATCCTGGAAGCTTCGACCGCGTCGCGAGGCTCATCTAGAGAGAGAGTTGTAGCTCTAAAACAGAAAAAATATACAGCTGCAGGTATACAAATAGAAACCTTGCCCTCGGTCCATCTTCGAATTCTTACAATCATTTGCCTCCATCGCACAACTTCGAAGATTATCATATCATCACGACTCAATCGCTTTTTTCTTCATGAAGTTTTTCTAATCTCTAATTCCATCTTCTGCAAGATTCCTTCTCGCGACAGTATTTATTTAAAGATTGGTTGATTACCAGCCAGAGAGGGAGAAAAAAAGAGAATGGCGCTTCCAGGAACACCACAGAGACCTTTACCAGGTACATATTTCATGACACCTGCTCCTCCGAGATTCAATCAACCTCCTCCACCACAACCTCCTCTTTTTCGACCACCGCAACCACATGCTGGACGTGAGCCAACTCCACCTCGAGACGGCCCAATACCTCCTCCAATTCAGCCTCAAATCTTACCGCAACCTTTATTACCTATTTCACGAGCTGCGAAAACTATCAACGAAGTTCTGCAAAGAGAATCAAGCTTTCCTGATCTTGATAGCTATGTCAAGCGTGAGTTTATATTAGAGTTTGTATAGGAGACACAGCTAACAGTCCCGCAGAGGGCATCTCGTCTGACTATGAACTTCCATCTCCTGTCTCCGATCCCGCCTGGGTTCCTTTCCAAAAGATGAGGATGTACGATATTCCAGATACGATTTACGACCAATACAATAATGCTTCTTTCGGGACATCGATGGGGCTCTTTGCGGAGTTAAATCATGCATGGGCAGCTATCGACAACGCATTATACTTATGGGACTATACCAGTCCAAATCCAACACTGCGAGGATTTGAGGATCAACCAAATGGTATCAGAGCTGTGAAACTGGTGATACCGCGCAAAGGAGTTTTCATTGAAGCCATCACGCACATTGTGGTGGTCGCAACCACTCAAGATATTATTTTGTTGGGTGTCGCAGACGGAGTTGATGAGCATGGGAATAGAAATTTGGAGCTTTACAGAACCGGCATGACGCTTTCCATCAGAGGACTCGACGTCACAGTAATTGAAGGATCGACAGACACGGGGCGCATATTTTTCGCGGGAGGAGCCAACCAGGTCTACGAGCTTACATATCAAAATGAAGACAAATGGTTTTCAAATAAAACAGGAAAGCTCAATCACACGAGTCCTGGATACACATCTTTGGTACCCATACCTTGGGGCCGCGCGACGACTGAGGTTGTGGTGGATATGGTTGTAGATGACACCCGTCGCTTGCTATACACTCTTTCCTCCGAATCCACCATTCGAACATTTCACATGGATAGCGCTACCACCTTGACACAAGTCATTGACAAGAAGCGACAAGATATCCTGAGAGATATCTCTCACATGATTTCGGCCTCGCCTCTCTTATCGTCTCACATGCGGATCGTTTCGATTAGTCCTATATCTGCAAAAGAAGGACTAAAGCTTCATCTTATGGCTACTACCACATCTGGATGCCGCTTGTTTCTGAGTGCCACTCGGGGTTATGCTTACGGTTTCCAAACTGGCCAGGGAGCTCCACAAAGTATGCAGGTTCAACATATCAGATTTCCACCCAGGATTGATCGGCCGGGAACTAGACCTTATCCTGGACTCGAGCCAGCGATCGAGACAAGTTCTGATGCACTAGCACATACACGCAGAGGTCTTCGATACCCTCCAGGTTTCTTCTTCTGTTTCGTTTCCAAGGAGACCCGTGATGGGAGTGATGCTCTTTTCCTGTCGGCTCCAGATACAGGTCGTATAGCAGCGCAGGCACGAGACATGGCCGCCCAACAAGGTTTGCGATATTGTGAATCGGCATTTTGGCTGGAGATGGGCAGTCGTGCTGAGGCTATCGGTCTTGTGACAAAACCTTTCGCTGCTTCAGATCAACCCCTGGGCTTTGGTAATGAACTCGCAACTCAGTACGATCTTCCAACCCCGGAAATAGCAATTATGACAAATTCCGGGATTCATATCGTTCGACGCCGACGACTTGTAGACATATTTGCCTCTGCAATTCGAAGTGGATTTGATGATGGAGAAACCGAGATTAAGAAATTTATTCGACAATATGGTAGAGGGGAAACGACCGCGACTGCTTTAGCCGTAGCTTGTGGACAAGGTGGTGATGCTTCGGTAGTTGGAGAGAGGAGGATAGCAGATCCAGACACAATTGAAGCTGCTAGGAGAGCATTCGTTGAGCATGGTGGACGTGCATCTATGGACCAAAATATGGTTGTCGAGGGACCAGCCCAAGCTATTGAAAACGTGCGGCCTTCTTCGAGACACGACGGGCTTGCTCTCTATATGGCTAGATTGGTCCGCGGTCTTTGGAAATCGCCGGTCATAAAAATGGAAATTACCAAGGAGGTTGTTGCTATAAAACCAACAATTGATAAAAAGAAGCTAGGCGCTGTTCAAGATGAACTTATGAAATTGTCCAAGTTTTTGGAGGACAACAAGACGTTCATTGAGGGGCTGTCTGGGCCCGAGGGTCTTAATCGTGTCACAAGTCAACAGGAGGATCTTGCTCTGCAGGGCGAACACCAAGCATTGCATTCACTGCAAATCCTTAACACGAGCATCGTAGAAGGAATATCTTTTGTTCAAATGTTTTTCGAGGAACGAGTCGATGACATTTGGGCTGCGCTAGATGATACAACGAAGCAACAACTCCGAGAACTAACATTCGAACTATTATTTTCTACTGACAATGGCAAAAACTTGGCGAAATTGTTGGTAAAGGAGATTGTGAATCGTAACATTGCTCAGGGCTCAAATGTTGATACAGTCGCTGAGGCTCTCAGAAGACGCTGTGGTACTTTCTGTAGTCCTGACGATGTCATTATTTTTAGGGCCCAAGAACAGTTGCAACGAGCGACCAGCGTCGGGCCTTCATCTGATCACGGAAGGGCACTTCTCAATGAGAGTGTTCGATTATTTCAGGAAGTCGCCGGTGTTTTATCTCACGACAATTTGTACAGCGCTTGTGCTCAATTTGCCGCGAATCAATTCTATGCTGGCGCAATCAGCCTGGCACTACTTGTTGCTCACGAATCCGATCGTGGCAACAAAGCTCTGTCGTGGCTTAATGATGGCAGGCCTGCCGACGACCATCGAGCAAGTTTCTTCGAGTTCCGCAAGGACTGTTATAACATCGTAAAGGAGATTTTAACTGCTGTCGACAACGACACTGGGAATGCACCGGAAATGGTTGATGGTAGACAAACCACCCAAGCTAGAATGCGCGAAGAAGCACATCAAGTGGTTGATGAGTCTGACGACGAGGTCTTTCAATACGACCTTTTTGATTGGTACCTTGAACAAGGCTGGACGGAAAGAATTATTGCCACAGACTCGCCATTCATTGTCAAATATCTTGAGCGGACTGCCAGCGAAAGCACGGAGAATTCCGACCTGCTTTGGAAATACTACGTTCACCGAGAAGATTACTCTTCCGCTGCTGGTGTACAGCTTACTTTGGCCAAGAGTGAACTTCCCATCTCCTTGCAAAGGAGAATCGAATACTTGAGTAGAGCCAAGGCAAATGCTCAAACACAAGGCGGTGCCATCCACAGACAGGCGCGACAAATCATGCTGCATGAGGCTGGTGAATTGCTGGACGTTGCTAGTATTCAACATGAATTGTTGCAACGCTTGAGAGCCGATCCTAGAATTCCTCAAGCACGTAAAGATTCCGTGGTTCAGGATCTTGACGGTGCCATTCAACCACTCTCTGTCGTAAGTTACCACCCCGTCCTCGCTTGCTTGCATATTGCTAACATCTTCTAGCTTTTCAATGAGTATGCTGACCAAGGCCAATACTATGATATCTGCCTCCAAATATTTGCAGCTGCCAATCATCACAACCAGGCTGATATCCGGACTATGTGGGAACAACTTCTACAGTCAATACAGGCCCGTGTAGAAGAAGACCCGCAAGCGCAAACTGAACGTCCTTATGAAGCTATCGTAAACATTATCCGTGAAATGTCGCAAAAGCTTTCTGGATATGAAATCGTCTTCTCTCCTAGCATTCTCATCCCCCTCGTCGAAACTTACGCGGCTGAACACGCCCATCCAGGTCCTACAAATTGGGTCCCAGATTTGTTTATCAGTGTGTCCTTCGACTTTGACACAATAATCAACATCTTAGAAGGAATGTTTTACAATGAGGTCAACCCATTCGTTGGGGCAAATAGGATAGTTCTTGCAAATCACATTGTGTATGCAGCGGAGCAATGGTACGAGGACTGTATTAGACACAATAAGAGAGTTTTTGGAGGCGAGGTGCAGCAAGATCAAATCGGACAGATTTTGGCCGAGTTGGGTGCGGCTGCCTATAGAGATGATCCAGTTGGGAGACAAAGAATTATGGAGTTGAGAAGGAGGATTGGGTTGGGGGGATTACGATGAGAGAAGAATGGGAATGATCATGTGATCGGGACGAAGGCAAGGAGAAGAAACTTGTAATTGGAAAATGGAAGCAAGTGCAGAGCAATTGTTTACAAGAGCCCGTTGCCGCAAAGGGCATTTGTAGGCATAAATTGGGCATTAAGCTAGGAGTTGGGGAAACTTGTTTGTTTTGATACTAAGTGGAGGAAGCAGGGGTCGATTTTGCTGAATTTATCGACTGGTATGGAGAGGGAAACTTACGCCATCGACAGTGGCCTGATGTACTGGAAACAGAGTTTCATGGGGGAAAGCGATGATGATAGACGGATGCTGTGCTTGTAATTCATAGATGGTTGATGCGTATTGGTTGGTAATGTTATTGTGATGATCAATGGTGCAAAGTAACAAGGGAGTGAAAAGCTAGTTTCAGTTAGGTAGTTGTCGATGGAGGAGAGAATGAAAACGAATGGATACCATGATATATGAATGCGTTGACTCGGACTGAAGTGCTTGGTATTGTTCAGTTGTGATTGAGGTATGGGCTGGAGAGACTTGGACATGGCAAATATAAAAATATGTGGAAGGAAAAATTACGCCGCGATACAGGGAATGCTTATAAGTGAACAGACCGAGTTTCTAAAAGGGTGAGGGGTTTGGTGAAATATATCTGGAGTAGAATACTAATGTAATTCTAGAGACCAAGTTCCGAAATATAGTGATAGGCGATCTTGGTGATGGGAATGCAGGTGGCATGAAGTGTTCCATTTCATTAATGAGATCCAAAGTGGTGCTAACTAGAGTCATTAAGATATTGAAATTAGGTGGCTGATGAGTCTTTTGTCAAAAAGGTACTTCATAATACTTCCCTGTTCTTGTTTGGCACAAGAGAGATCTGTATTAAGATGGTATGGTTCTTGCTCAGGCTCCTAAAGTTTGGCTCATAACCGAAAATGAAGGGGTCAATTTTGGGCGGGTAGGGAGGATTTAGTGGCAATGATTTTGCCAATACTCGTGTTCATACAATGCTTGTCTTGAATCATCATTCTCAAATAGGGTTCGAGAAATGCCTGTGAATAGAGGAGTGTTGTATCGTGTTTAATGTTCATGGCCCCAAACACTGTGAAAACGCACAAAACATAGTGCGGGAGTTGATGCAGCGCTGGAAATGTAGTTTTTTCCCGTTCTTTCTATTTCTCCTTCCTTCCATCACATAGCTGCCCTCTCTTAAACCATAAACAACCCTCATCCAACTCGTCTTCTGCCCGTTAAACGCCTCCCTCTCCTATAGCCGATTTTTAACTTCCCTGCTGGCCTTTATGGAGTTAATTGCATGTATCGTAATGCTTGTAATCAGCAGGCTGGAATAATCAAGCGATAAAAATAGATATAAAACTATCAGTAGCGATGAAAACAGGAGTTCCATCTTTGTTGAGAGTCGAATCCAATGGAGGTCACAGTTTGGCAGAGATTGATTGAGAAAACTACCAATATATCTCTGCTGGAGGCTTGCTTGGAAGAACAAAGATGATAGAATCTTTCCCGCCTTTGGATAATTAATGGCTTTCGATATTGGAACCGCTACGTGGACAATTGAGGACACTGACTTCGATAATGCACTTTGACACTTGATTTGTTCTATCGGTTTGCAGTTTCGAAGGGCTGATATGAGGAGTGACACGTTCTCCAATGTCCAGATCACATGTCTCGTAACAAAATTGATACTGAATTGCTAGATTGTAGCAAATATTCCTATAAAGCATGGGGTATATGACGAATAAAATGACAAATGAAGAAGCAAATCCCACATGAAACAACTATAACCCATCAATCATTCATACAAGACTTTCGGTACTGCTACCGCTTTTTCTGACTGGCTTTCCATTATTCACAGACATACTGTCATGCCACTTCACTTCGGTTTCTGTTCTCACTGCGATCCCCATCTGACCTTTGTGCAATCCATCCCCCTTTCCGTGACCACTCTCCACATCAGTGACATCACTCATTTTATCATAGTCTCCGTCTATATCGCCGGCCCCAATCTCTGTAGTATGATGCGCCGTTCTCCTACTCATTTCATAGCCTTCTGGGCGGCGGGCTGTTCTTCCCTGTCCATATCCTTCGGTAGATTTCTTTTGACTCCGCGAACGATCACTTTCTCCAAAAATTTTGGGGATGATGCGCACAAAAATGGGTTTAAGTGCGGGCGCACACGCGCAAACAAATGATAAGCCGACTTCGATTGTTGTAATACAGAAAAGAAGAGAATATGTGATATCTGCTGGAGGTTTGCGATCGAACGAATCGAGAAGGATGATCCGAATAATACCAATAATAACGGTTCTACGGTAGGATGTTAGAGAAAGGCGTCATGCCAAGAGTTATGGCGAGAAATGGACGGTTACTCACATAAGACCAAATGACAATATAGCAACAAGCATCAATTTTTGCCTCCGTGAGATCTGTAGATTGTAGACAATCCATGTTGGCATTAACAAAGCCAGCATGTCGGTCAAAACACTGACACTTGCTGTCCCGGTAACAAAGTTTGCAAAGTTCATGCAGACGGCATCAGGGTACTGGGCAGGGTACCAGTTTGCGGCAATGGGAACACAGTGGAAAGCAGTGAGAAGGAATGTGACAACCATCATGACGCCATTGAAAATCAGAAGACCAATAATCGTTAGTCTGACATTAGATTTTTGGCCGGTAAGGCGAAGTAGGAAGAGAAGGATAGATGTTTTCACAAGAGCCAAGATGGGGTTGTAAATGAGTTCGGTCTGGAGTAATCAGTAATAAGCAATGAGAGATATTTGCATCAAAAACTAACCGCATAGCCATATTTTGCACCAGGCACGGAATCCCAATCGGCTGGAAGATCCCATATGTGTATACCGACATAATTGTATTTTATCACTAGTAGCTGTTAGAAGAGTTCGGGTGATGAGGTCGGTAAAGGAAGAGCTTTGCCTTTGTATGAAGTATATGTCTCCGCCCAGTAAACGATCTAGAAAGGAGAAGTTTAGTGGAAGATCTTGCTGTCAATCGCCCCCCCCCCCCCCCCCCCCAGCATCAGAGCCTGCCCAGATCGCAAGGTCAATCAAGAGCCCAACTGTCATATCCATGGATTTTCATGAAAGTTTTGGGAGAATGGCACTCGTATGGCCTACAAACTGTGAATAAAACTTACCATGGCAAAGCAAATTACCCAATCATCTGCAACAGGTTAGCGACGGTTGTATTAAAGTGTTAATTCTCAGAAAAACGAGCATAACTAATAGCAATCACATACCTGCAGCAAAAGATCTAGTCAAGGATCTACTGTACAACCGTAAAAAGAGGGCGGCTGTCGCAATGGCCGGAAAAACAAAAGTAATCGCGAATGCCTGAGCTTGACGGTTATCGTGAGGAAGATCCGCAACAGCAGCAGCACTGGTAGCCATGTTTTGGTCGGTGAACCAGTCACAATTCCACCTTGGGGCTCATGTACAAGAAAGTGGAATGCAAACGATAATGGACCACCCTCACTGATACGATTGAGAAGATGAACGAAAAGTGAATATCAAAAAATGGGGACCATATACGACGCGCGACGAACAGGCCGTTATATTATGATAAAGTCAATTAGCAGATGTAAATCAATGTAACCGAGGGTCCATCACCACATGGCAATCCAAGGATTGAGAAGTTCAATGCAAAAAACAAACCCGGTCAAGGGGATTCGGAAGGAAAGGTCGAAAAAAGCAAGAAAGTTAAAACGAGGTATTGAGTTTTCAACTCCACCGGGGTTTTGACAAACAACGAGTCAAATTTTATAGGGAATGAAACGGATCGGTATGTTGTCTATGCTCTGGAAGGGCTGATTGGCCTGATTTATCTGTATGAATACTGCTTTCCCTGATGGGGCAACGATACTGTATGTGCAACAGCAGTAGTATGGATCTTTTTGAGCTTCGTCGTACCCGAGCATTGTGACTAGGCCAAATTTGTGTTCTTTACATCCGTACCCAGAAACTCGGGTAACGAAAGGCAATTCCCGCTCCGGGCAAAGCCAGGGGTATGGAACACGGAAGAAATTCTTGCGGAGTGCTGTACTTTTGATTGCATCGCGGATTTAAACTTGAAGTTTGTGATTGTGTGACAAAGGGCAAAGATGGGGTGGGGGTGAGGGAGGTTAGAGACGGGACCGAGGAAGCAGCCAGTGGCAATTGGTGCAAGTCCGAAATATACAAGGTGTTCCACACGGTGATTAAATTCAGAATCTGCAACCCCCTTTCCTCCTGCATTCTTATATTTCCGTTCAACATCTGCCGACTGTAACACTGCACATACACACGCAGTGTGAAATACAGATTCTGTTCGTATGGGAAGGTATCATCTTAATTGCCGGTAGCAACTAAGGGGGATTAAAAAGCCACAATATGTGTAGCGTAACGGCGTCGATGAAAGGCGGGGGTTTACGTCTCTTTTGTTTTTATATGCTGATGCCGTGTGTTTCTGAAGTTTGTAGGGGGTAACGTTACGGTACCGAGTTCTGTGCCACAAAATTGCTATTGGTGTCAATGCAGCGAGTCCGGTCAATGTATTATACTTATGTAGCTAATTCTGGTCCTAGTTCTACTCTAAAATTGATCGAAAGGGCTTAGCTATACAGACTTGGAGATTAAATTTTGATCAATTCCAGGATCTACGTAACGTCTTGGCAAGTACTAGGAGCTAATTCAATCTGATAAACGCAAAGTAGTCTACCCAAGTCTAGATATCTATCAGTAAGGACTTGAAACCAATCATGCAGAGGTATGTGTATGGTACTTCGCACTTTGTATATTCATTATTGACAAAAATTTACCTTCATCTGATGGTCAGCTGGGGTTCAACTTCGCAAATGGGGCTTCCCGCTATATAGCCTCGAAATAGCAAAATAATACGTCGTACTAGTCGTCGTAGGGAAGAATTCGGATCGCAACCTTTTCCACCTCAATCTTCGAGAACAAAATTACTTTTCAAAGTTTTAACCTTAACCCTCATTGATTTTCTCTAGGCTGAAAATTCTCTGAGTATCTAGGGGTAATTCTACTGGGAATTTCCATGAAACGCACCGAAAACCCTGGTATTTAACGCCCGTACACCATAAAATATCGGCCGATAAAGTTCAGAGTAGGTAACCCGAGATACTTATCACTATCAACTGTGCCTAGGTACTCCCTCGAGAATTCATACAGATAACTTACACAGGATTAAGTACATTCTTTTCACAACTTATTAGGAAACGCGGCCGCTGATATACGAAGTCCAATAATCTCAGTAATTTACAAGCTTGACTCAAGCGATAGATGGGCATTGATCATCGAAAGATCTGATGCCCTAACGGAATGGAGTGCTGCATGTGAAAACCCTTACAGAGTACAGTCTTCCATGGTAAATGGTATCATAAATGCTTAGATATCATCTAGGTAGGTTTGTTATCGTAAGATCTTACCTTGTACAAGAGCAGAATCTTTAAGGTTCGAGAATCGAGACTGCAAGCGATGGACATGGTTACACAAACGAAAAAAGAAGAAAACGTGGCGATTTCGGGCCCACGAACGATTCAAGCGGAAGCCTCGTTTCGATTTTTTGATTCGTGAACTATCGATGCTCCGCTATAGTTCTGCAGCTTCACGGAGTACGGTTCTCTAAAGTTTGATCCGTTTCTGCTGATTTTTACGGCTTACTCTCTGCAGGTGGGGAATGAATCTAATAGATCTTGACCACAACACTGGAATCATAAGCTCATAGGCGAGCCGTTAGATGAAATAGACCACACATGCATGTACACTCGTACAGTCGTATAGTCTCTTCCGTCTGAGTACGTATTCTAGGTCCATCCCAAAGTATCACTCAATTGTCAAATCTCAGCAAGTCTAGAGAAAATTTTCAGTTTAGAATACCTCATTTGAGTCGAAGAACCATTTTGTTGCCATTTGTTTGTCAATTTTAAGACTTCGACTTTACTATACAATTTACATCGTTCATTGGTCGTCCCTGGAGGAATCAATCAGTATCCAATGATATGATAGTTCCCATATTAATAATTATTAGATTTTGTTATCGAATATCCACAGGACCCATATCTTTGATCTCAATTAGCCTCTAGTTCTCTTATGCAACGACCGGGTAGATCAGGGCTCAAAGTGGGCGCCGTTTCTTTTCAGGTGTTTACGCCGAATGTACTATTGGCCATCCCCCGGCAAATCCACATTCTGTCAAAATATTCTAAGGATGTTTTTGATGCCGAGTTGTCCGAAAATCAAACATGGCGAGATTTCAATCTAACATGAATCAATTATAGATCCTGATATGTTAATTCTTGTGCTGAAGCTTTGTCATATCTAGTCCTGACATAGGCTCGCAACCAGAATGGGAAAGCTTTCTCCATGAGATCTCCACCATGTCTTCCCTTTTGGGAAAACATTCTTCTCAGCCACGCCGAGATCCAGATACCCAGACTTCTCTCAAGAGACAATTTCTGTTAAATAGTTGGCCCCCAAGCCCATCCATTTCAGTCCACGCCTCTTTTGACCTTCCAAGTCCTGTCAAGTTCATACATCTAGAGAAGGAAATTACTTTTGCAAATCAGGTAGTTCTCTCTTAAATCCTTGATACCTTCCCGCTATGCTTCGCGACTGTTACTGATAAATTACAGTCATGAAGACCTCACCGTCTTTAGCGGCAGCCGCTGCTTTCTTGGGTGCCGTTTCAGCACAAAGCATTGTAACCTCAACCTTGAGCCCTGCCACAACCACTGTTATTTCAACCGCCACACCAGCTCTTTTTAGTAATGAAGTGGTGCAATTGACTGATGGCGTTCTTGACAACGTTGCTGCTGCCATCAACAATGAATCTATCTCATCTCTCTTCGCTTTCGACTCTGATTCCACTGCTTCGAAGAGATCAACTAGAGCATGCAAACTCCTCCCTGGTGATGCGTTGTGGCCCATTACCTTAATTTGGGATATTTTTGACATCCTCCTTGGCGGTGCCTTGATCAAGTCCACTCCTTTGGCCGCTGTTTGTTACCCAGAATGGCCTGAATATGATGCAGTCAAATGTGCATCTGTCACAGCTGACTGGTACTTTTCAGAATTGCAGTAAGACTCACCCAATCGGATACATTATTGGATACTAACTTTGACACAGTGAGGCTGATCCAACTTCAATTCAATTGCCTCTCTTCCAGGGCCGTACTTGTATGCCTCCCGGATTTAACTATACAGACACCTGTGAGCAGGGTGGTTACCCCAGTTATGTTGTCAACGTCACAAACGTGGCACAAATCCAACTCGCTGTCAATTTCGCAAGAAATCTTGACCTTTCCATTGTGATCAAGAACACTGGTCACGATTTCAACGGTAAAGCATCTGGCAAGGGTGCTCTCACCGTCTGGACTCATTATCTCAAAGATAAGGCATATTTACCAAACTTTGTAGCTGCTAATGGTTATTCCGGACCTGCTATCAAGGTTGGTTCCGGTATCTTGGTACACGAAGCCTACGAATATGCCAAGAGCTTAGGAGGTACTGTAATTGGTGGTGAAGCTGTCACTGTAGGAATGGGTGGTGGTTATATTGCCGGTGGTGGTCACTCGCCTTTGAGCAGTATGTATGGTATGGGATCTGATCAAGTCTTGGCCATGGAAGTTGTCCTTGCCACCGGTAAATTCATCACTTGTGATTCCAAAACCAACTCCGATATCTTCTGGATGCTTCGCGGTGGTGGCGGTAGCACTATTGGTGTTGTAACATCTCTCACCGTCAAACTTCTCCCCAAACTCGAAACCACCACAGTCACCTTCAACTTCACTGTCGCAGATACTCCCGGTAACGACTTCTTCTGGGCAGGTGTTCAAGCTTATATTGACAATGCTGAAACCTTCGTCGATGCCGGTACCTACGGATATTACTACCTTGGAGCTAGCGCCTTCGAAATTGGAACCGATGTTGGTGGTAGTGATGCTTATTATTTCCGTATGGAATCTTTCGTCGCACCAAACATGACAGTTGCTGAGACTCAAGCACTTCTCAAGCCTTGGTTCGATGTTCTTGACAGCAACAACATCACATATACTCCTTGGTACAACCACGCTGACAACTTGTAAGTTATTCCTAGCTTTTTTGTCTTGTTCACAATCATAATTCAAGCATGCTGACAATTATCCCTAGCTATGATGCCTGGGTTGTTTCTTTCCCGGAAGAATATGTCGGAACTGACGTTGTCAAAACCGCTTCTCGCCTCATGCCTCGCTCTGTATTCGAGGACGATGACCTCCGCAATCAAACCTTTGCCGCTCACAAATCTGCCATCGAGCAAGGTTTCTTCATCGCCGGCTTCCATATCTCCGGTACCGGTATTGCTGTCGACCCACCCACTGATTCCGCTGTTCTTCCTGCGTGGCGGGAAACCATCATGCACACTATCGTCGGTGGTGAATGGGATGCTACTAGCTCCTGGGCCGAGATCGAGGTCGTTGTAAACGCCGTTACAGCCTTCATGGATACTTTCCGTGCCATTGCTCCTGATTCCGGCTCCTATATGTCAGAGGGTGACCTCATCGAGCCCAATCAAACACAAGCATTCTACGGTATCAACTATGATAGACTTTATGCGATGAAGCAAACATATGACCCTAACGGCGTATTCTTTGCTCTCACTGCTGTCGGATCCGTTGATTGGGAAATCCAGACCACTGATCCTATTCCATATAACTGGAACACCAACGGTAGACGTTGCCCAGTTTAAGGGAGATGTCTGGAGAGATTGTATATAGAACCAAAATCGTCCGTAAATAATTGACGAATAGATTGATAATATTAATGATAATGAATACTTTTCTTAAATGCCCAGCAAAATGCGTGCGTGAATGTTAATCTTTCATCTTCTTGGTAAACCAAATGACACAATCCCGTGAGATGTTACCCCGCCTAATTTGACCAGACGTACATCTAGGTAGATATGGAGGTTTGATGAAGTAATATATGGCGTCTGGTTGGTCCTACATTAAACTGGTGTTGGCTTGAGCTGCGTTAATTTTCATCATCCCGTTGAGGTCCATTTACAATTTCAACAGTTTGCTTCTAGGAAATATTTTGCCATTCCGGATCAGAATTAGATCAATCAAACCTCGAGCTAGAAAATGATTGATGAGATATTGAGTGTTAATTGATACTATCTATCTGAGTTGACTGTTAGTATATAGAAAGAATGGCTGAAATGATAAGCTGAACATCTGGGATTGGTCTTCGGGGAGATGAAAATGGACATCTAGTATGGAATGTCTGTTCATCATTTTCCTCCTTCCAGTTGTTGGTAGCAAACTGACTGACGAAGCTAAAGCTCGCCGAAATCTGGAACCTGAAGAGAAAGACCTGTCAAAGGGCCATTGAAACTTTGTGGGTAGAACAGGGTCGTTCTGCTACATTGGGTGGCAGTGAAATGAGTTACTAGGCAAGTGATAGGTAGCTCAGATATGCAAACGAAACGAGCGTGTTGCAACTGAGAAAATCCTGCAGAAATCTAAAGTATTCCAGCCATTAACTTTTGTTGTTAGATCGGATGACAACACCCCTTCTCCAAAGATAAAAGTTGAAGACGAATGGGTTGACGCCAACAGACATTATTGAGATTCTGGGGTCTGTTCCGAACGTTCTAAATGCATTTGTTGTACTCGAGTATTGTTCATCAAACTCATAGATATATCCGAAATCGACTCGTTCCTGAACGTCGAACCGGACATGGAGAAATGATAAGTGCACTATCAAGCCCCGCACTATTATCGCATTCGAGACCTGGTTTGCCCTCGGAACAAATGTGATAGGTAGAGAAATAGAGTATACCAGGTGACACAATGCGTTCTTTAAAAATGCCTCTGCCCTAGGTTACTTTTGTTGACTTGCCCATGAAGCCGATAACCAGGATGGAGTTCATGAATACCTTGACAGCCCTCATCATTGCAAGGTCTCAGCACCAGTCTCAATATCAGTCTTGAGAGTTGTCTTGAGAGATGCGCACATCGAATCAATCCAGAGATTTCGGTACCTGAAACTCCCAAGATCTCTGGTCGCATCTCAAAATAAGCTTGACAATGTTCTTAAGCTCCTGCTTCTCCAATATTCAACATGCCCTGAGAAGGTTTCAAGGTCGAACAAGCTGGTTGAGGTGATTGTCTGATGCTCCCTCCCTTCGCGAGACAATTGACAGAGATGGTAGGTAAGTGTTGCTCCTAGATGTAGAAAAAATACCCCGTAGCCATGATCCAAGTAGTTTCGTTCTATCAAAATAGTTTAGCATCATCTGTTTAGCTATCAGCTTTGAAGCAAACGAGATCCCGATCGAGATGTGTAGAATCCTCTCCTGGATAGAATCAGCAATCTTTGACTGATATTGCCAGATCAAATTCAACCATGAAATTCTGCCTTGGGGTTGGAAAGTGAATTAAATGTTCTACCACAGTGTATTGAAATTGCCCGGAGCTGACAGCAATGACTCTAATCTCCATGTTGCAGAACAGTGATGATTTGACAGCATTTGCAACTTTGCGAGCTTTGCTGGAAATCATCATAATATTCGAATGATCCCGATTCTCTCAATAGAAAAGAGGTGATCGTAATCAAGAGATAGAGGTTAAAACGAGACCCATCCCTTCATATAAGCTTTGAAGTTCTCTCGAGTAGTCGTTGAAGTGTTTGTAAATCATTGATAGGCAATGGGAACCAAATGAAAAGTGGTGGGCAGATTTTGGTATTATACTGCCAAAGGATACCCTAAACTTTCACATCGCAACTACATTCATTCAACAATATTTTGACACTTTTAAGAATGAAATGATTGACACTTGAGCGACGTGAACAACAATACGTATAATGCGAAATAAAATATAATGAGGTTGATTTATATATACCATTCTGATGTAATGCGTTCAGTTCTGGCATCACATTCTTTATCTACGACACCGCCAAACTGCGTTCCCTCAACTTCACCCTTACCCCTCATTCCCTTTGACAATTAATTATTGAACTACCAGATCAACCAACCCCCAAGTTTTATTTGACTTGATACCCAACTGCTTTGATTCCAAATTCATACTGTTATAACTGTACCTCTACCTTTATTCAACCAATCTCGCAGACAATATTCAGGGTAATCTCCTATGCGCAGAATGTCTACCATCACAATTGGAAACCTACCCCGTTTGTCCTCAAAAGCTCTCTCTGATATCCTTCTTTCTCACGCCTCGTCGAACCTGGATGCCCCTTCCAAGCCGCAGAATTTAGCTATTATTGACGTCCGTGATGATGGTACGTCTGTCTTGGGCACTATTGCCTGGGGAAAATACTTCTATTCTTTTCAGTCATTTCATATTACTGACTTCAATCAACTCTCGCAGATCACATAGGCGGTCATATCAAACATTCCACCCACGTCCCATCCTCCACTCTCGACTACAAGATCCCCGAATTAGTCCGAAAATTGAAAGATAAAGATACGGTTGTATTTCATTGTGCTTTGAGTCAGCAAAGAGGTCCCAGTGCTGCATTGAGATATATACGCGAAAGGGAGAGGATTATGGGCGCGGGTGCCGGCATGAGCGCTGGATCTGTTGGAGAAGCAATGAAGAAGAATAAAGAGGCAGTCGAGAACAAAGCTGATGACGGGGAATGGGAGGATGTTGAAGAGGAATCTGAGAAGAAAGGGCAAAAAGTCTACGTTCTGGATCAAGGGTTCGTTGGATGGCAGGAGATATATGGCGAAGATTCACGCTTGACAGAAGGATATCGGAAAGAGATCTGGGAAAATGGTTATTGAGATGAGACTAGGAATTTCACCAACCAACTCCCTGCAATAAACCAATTTTAAGCACACATACACGAGTCTTCATGGTATAATACACCTACTCTTTATACATCGGAATGGAAATTCTTTTCCTAAGGGGAGGGGGTTGTTTGCTATTGTGTAGCTCGCGGCATTCACCCTAACTATATTCCACTCGAATTCGACACCAGAGGTTGCAATGTAGAAGCCTATCTCTAACTCATTTAATGGCTTTGTCCCCTCTACATCTTTTACCAAGTCTATTAGCTTCTGAGTTGTTTCCTCTTCTAGGACGGAAAGCTCCCGCTTCGGAAATGCTAATCCGTACCGGCTGGAGATCATTTACTACGTCTACATCTGGCTCATCCAGTTGGCGGAGGTACATGGCTTGTAGTTGAGCGATTGGGATTGCTGACAATCCTTTGGCAACACCTTGATTCATACAGAAGATTGGTCATCCGATTATCTTGTGGACTGCGCATGACTATGGCCTTAAGCAAGTCGTCAATTGAATCAATGAGATGGGTGCACTTTATATCATCCGCAAGCTATGTAGCTGATTCTATTGGTGGTATGCCATGACGCTCGAAGGCTTAGTTCGTGAGTTGAGACAACCAACTCTTTTCTCGAGTTTTTGACTACTTTTCTTTTAAAAACATCCAAGAACACGAGGAATCTATTAGACGTCTTACCAGCTTCAAAAGTCTTCTCAAGGTGATACTGTAAATCCTTGGAAGGTTTCAAATAGCGTAGCCCAGGCTGTGTAACAAGCACCCATAAAACTTGTTAAGTAAATGCTCTCTTGAAAAACATCTCCTCAGCCTAGTATGAAAATGTAACATCATTGATCAGAGATGCTACTTTCGGATGACCTAGATCTAGCCATAATGAAAAGGTGGTATTGCAATTCGTCAATTTGTGAAACATATCAACCGCAGACTTTACCATTGGGGCAGGGGCGTTGACGGCAGGGCAGATGAGGAAAGGCAATAGGTGGAGTTAGGATTGAATCGATATTCCCATAGCGTGCATCAATGTGATTTTGGTTTTCTCTTCGTTTGGAAAATACGAAGGTTTGTGGGTGGTTTCTGGAGTATCTTCATTCAGCTTTATCACCACATCATTCATGAGATGATAGATTACCCCTAAAGATGGGATATCGCCAAGGTGCGTTACCCCCTTGATCAATCTTAAATTCTGTTTGGCTAAACCGTGTACCTTCCTCCAATGTTCTTCAGAAATCGGTCGAGGGCTCTTGAGAACAACCGTCACAATTCTCGTGTGAAAATCAGGTCTTATTACTGCCAGGCAACGATGTTGTTTTTTGGTGGTCTTGCAGTGGCTAAGATGGAGCAATAGCAGAGTCAAGCTCAAGGAAGTGGATAATCCGCATGATTTCAGAGCTCGTGTAGCGAGGCCCACAAACTTTCAAAGCCAAGATGAGACAAAGGTAATGGAGATTCTCGTCGTGAATTTTTAGAGATACGTTGTATACGGATTCGCTTGTAGTATTGCGATATTAAGAAAGGGGCAACGAGGTAGTGTCCTAGTCATGACAAGATAGACACAATAGTCTGTAGTTGAGGACCTTCAAAGAGATGAAATACCAGAATGTTTTTCAAAGTCTATTGGTACAGCCACATACAATGAACTCCGTGTAAATATTTCAATTGCCAACCATTGCCAGTATGAATTGATAGAGCATGTTGGCTTTGGTAGAAGATAAGCCTTGAAAATTCAGGGCTACCCTATTCATTCGGGTTAAGGTGAGACTTTCCAATACATCAATGGCTGAGTGAATAAGAATCGAAGAACCCCCTGCAAATGAACACGAAGATACATAAATAGTGGGACGGTATCTTCAATGTTCTAGTAATATAAACGTGTGGTTGAACTCTAATCTACATCTATGTTCAAAATCATCTCAAGCCGTCTGCCCACAACCGTGTTTGATGCTTGGAGTCCTGCGACTCACAATTTACGAGTCTCGTTTTGGTAAGTCGTATCCATTAGCTCTATTCTCTTCGTTCACCGGTGCTTATTGTTGAATGCCTCCGACTAATTCACATATTATCCCTCACTGATTTGAACCTTGGTGCCGATGATGAGATTATCAAGGCTGTTGTTACTTGGAGGTGTGCATTACGTCGGCTTGAAGAAAAAATTGAAGGTTCCTCTGCAAATTAAGCTACTTTCCTTGTACCAAGTCTGAGTAGTGGAGTTGAGAGTTTGTTGAAGACCGTAATTGATGCAGTGAGTTCCAGATGTTGTGGGATTCTTTAATCGGGCATGCAAATAGTCATGCCGCTTTCAGGGGCAGATCTTACCTTCCATCTAACAACGTGGCTTCTTTTGGTGTGCCTTTATTTCTGTGGGAGAAAAGCATGATCCGTCGAAGTCCATAGAGTTCCTTGGAAAACCATGAGCATTTTATCTCCCCCCTTCATTTAGCGAGTTTCATCACCAATACGCGGCCGCAAATTGATCTGCGTCAAGGGACAAAAGAACGGGAGTCTAAGAAAGTCTCAAGGTCAAGAGTATAAAACGTTTGAGAGGTTAATGAAGCCCAAGCAGTGATATTCAATCGAAGTTGATGATCGAGGGAGACGACCAAAGACGTTCTTTATAAAATAAGAACATTCAAAGATTTGATACCCAACATAATCGATTGTTAAACAGTTAGGTGGATCTTTGTATGAATATGAAAGGAGGTATGTTTCTTGATTTGTTCACACTTAAATATTTAACACCCAGAATAATTCAGAATGCACTAGGATAATGACTTGTTATGTTTTTGATATGCTTTGTATTTATTATCTAGAACAGTAAAATAAGAGAAGGGAGAATCGCCCAAGCTCCTCAGCTTTGGTGTTGATTGCAGATATATAAAAGCATGTGGCATGTGTAACATGTGATTGAAGTTTGGGGTCTGGAAATGAAGGGGTCTCTGATAGTCGGAATTGTAGTTTGACTATCAAAAGTTCGCAATTTATGAGTGCAGTTATATAATCTCAACAATCGAAACACTGCATTGACACTGGGTGTTGTGTTGCTTTCCATCCATATAGAATTTGAGAACTCTGAGCTAAGAGCTGATATTTAGTCTAGCAGTCCGAAAGATAGTATGTAAACAAGACACCCTTTACCTTAAATAATGTAGATGTGAAATGAAGAATGAATGAATGGATAGATAAATACTGGAATTAAATCAATTGCCCTAGAGGATACGTGTTATGAATCGAAATACATGATTCCACTGTCAGAAACACTCCCGGGGTTTCGTTGTCAATCATGTGTTTGCAGGTGATAATCACAATGTGTGATCCAGTCCTGTCATGTCGGTGGTCAAAAACCTTGTGGATCCACTATCGTGGGAATTCAAAATTTCCGCATTGGACCATAAAATAGGAAGGAGAGAAATTGACACGTGTTAGACATCACAATACCGAGTAGATTAGGATCCATCGGAGAAACTCGGATTGCATGATCGAAGTAATCAACGACCATTCAAAAACGCAGACCTCTCCACATTGACTGTCAACCCCATGGGCAAGAATGGGGCGGTCCGCCTTATCTCTTGGTGTAAGAACTAAGGTACGGAAGAGAGAATTAGGTATCGCGAGATTTCCCTCATGTACGCTGCCTCGTAAGTAACCTTGGGGAGAAATCTCACTTGAGAATTGTGATTCAAAATTTCATGAGGCATATCTTGATACAACAGCGACGGGCCGTTAATTCCTAACCCATGCACAGGTGTGTGATAAAAATTGGAGGGTATGAGAGAATCAGGATAGATGCATTAGCCGTGAGGTGAGGCAAAAAAAAAGAGTTGAGGCAAGAACGGCAAAATGGAGATTTGGAAGACGCAACACCTCTAGGCTCTAGCACTCTAACACTATCACGACCGAAGGAGGGATTAATACTTTAGCGCGTGGTCAGCAAAAGCTGGTCGCTGGGAGATGGCGCGAGACGCTGAAGAGGGAGGCCATGTTGAAAGGTCCGAATGCAATGCTGTACGAAGGAGAAAGGCTATACGCCGTAGTAGGGAGTTAGTAATTGCCATGTTACATTCAACGTTTCTGTTGTATTACACATGAGGATGAGTATGGGCATGTGCATACATGTGAGCCAAGGCACAAAAATGTGATAATTGACACAATTGGCATATGAAGAAGGCGGCTATTGCGTTTACATGTGTGTGAAAATGTTGAGGATATTTTACTTTTTGGGAGTTACTCAATGGCAGTGATCGTTGTGAATGGCATTACCGGTAGCATTCGGCAAATTGATTTGCAGGTTCCCATTCGGGTCCGGGAGAATGTGAAGACAGGATAGTGATTTCCTCACCATGAGTTGATTTTAAATCCTTCCCTTGCCGCCATCATCTATATCTTTTTCAACCGTTGACCATGTACGACGTCTTCTTTCGTCAACTGTAGGTTCAACGTTGTGTATAAGTGGACCTAGGAGGTGAATAATGAAAAAGGACCGAAAAGGGGAGAACGGCTTCCTGGATAAGTTCATTCGGGTAAAGGGCCATGGTTGGAGAATGGCATGATTTTTCCGGATAACATCATACATCCATCACACACGATTGGAATCGAGATGATGGTGAGTGATTGATTGATTACCTTAGCATGTGGGAAAATGAAGACATCGTGAGATTTTTGGTGGGGCTGATTATCGTCACAATCGCATCGCCTGCTGAGTACGAAAAGGTGGATCAAATTAGTAGGTAGGGAGGGAGGGACGGAGGGACGGAGGGAGACGAGGATAGGATAATCTATCGTTGCCGTGCCCGGTTATCTCTCCAGCTACCTGTACGAGGAGCGAGAGTCGAGAAATTTACAATCGATCAAGGACCACGGTTGTTACAACTGCAGACTGCAGTACTAGGCACAGTACTAGGTAGTTTGTCAGTAGCCAAGCTTCGGAGAAGAATTATTCCATTCAACCCACCATGGACATGCTATGGACCATGATGAAATCTTTTT